GCCCAGTCGGAGCAGAACAGCAGGATGTTAAACCCCATTTAATTTAATTTCATTTTATTAAACGCTTACAGGTTGACGTACGAGCGCTTTGAACCCCAAAAAGATATATTAGCGCTGTATACAAATCCTGTTTATAACAAAAGTAAGCTTTCTTGATTATATGTAACATTAAAATAGACTCGTCCCCAATTACATCATGTATAGCTTTAGGTTAACGAGATTTTACCGCTAAAGACGGCTACAAGCAAGCGAAGTATTGAAATAAAATTGAAGTATGTTAGTCTCCCCCCCCCCCATCCTCTCTCTTCCTGTTAACATCATGCACTTTAATTTTTAAGTCATCCAAAATAAACTCGATGGGTTTTACCATAAAATTTGTTTATCCTGTACTAACGTGTTGTTATTGATTTTTTTAATTCTTATTTCTGCCAAAATCTGTCGAGTCATGGGAATTTCCAAATTCTGAAAATAAAGTGAGTTCGCAACATTCTTTATATACCTCATGACAGTCATTTCATAAAGTCGTTATGTTATTGACCAATGATTGTTCATATCTAATGCGATTAGTTAATTTGTCCAATCAGTTTTCATTCTGTCCGCATGATCTGGTGTCTGTTGTTCAGATTGGTTCTCGAGCCCGCCATTAATATTCTCAGACCCTGATTTTGTAGGACTACCAAGAATGTTTTGGTGTAATAGTATTTATGTTTTTGTAAATAGAAGAAACATGGTCAGAAAAGAGATGATCATCCTATATATGTCATGGGCTGCATATCCTTCAAGAAACAGTACATGTACTTCCATCAGCAAGCAAACAATCGGCCTGAGAAGGATACATATGAAGGTAGGAAAGTAGCTCTTACTTTGTTTAATTTCCTTTAAGCATGGTAGGCTCATCATGCAGTTAACGTTCTCTCGTAGTTTCGGGGCCCGTTTCGGTCTTGGATTTACGTTGGTTTTTTATAATTTGGTATAAGATAGCCACGGACTATCAGGATACCACCGCCCCCTGCCTTCAATGAAACTGTCGATGTACAATACAAGGCTAGGCAGAGCTTGGGGACGTGTGGATATTCCGAATGTATGAAGTCTGAAAATTCGCGAGACCAAAACCTGGTTATTCCGAATGCAAAAGTCGCTTAAGTTTAGCATGCCACTCAAATCAAAATGATAGCTTGAATGTGTCATTATTTAATTTATTTTTGCCGCAGTATGCGCTAAACAAACCGTTTTTGTTTCAGGTCTTAACAGTAATTGACGAATAAGAAAAAAAACAAGAAAAAAATCCAGTGAAAAGCGTCAATTTTCAGTGAACTTAAATTATAAAATTGACCAAATATGACGTGTTGTCAATGTCATGTGTTAATTCATGTTCCTGTTGTTAATTATATGGATGCCTGCACGTACTTTTCATATATATTTTTATGTGTTACACCCTTCACAGTATACTAATTGCGGACTTCATCAATTTGTGATCACAAATTTGGAGAAAATAACTGATATTGTGACATTAAATAAATCAGTTGGCAAACAAGAATGATACAGTCAAAAGAACATCTGTTGAATATTGATCCGAGTTGACGTTGATAGATTATATAATTACACAAGTGACAAATATGATTAGATATTCATTGATGATAACCAGTTCTCTTGCTGTAAATATCTGGACAAAATAGACTACGGTATGTGCTGATATAAATCTTAAAAAAAAAGATTTATTTTTATAACTTACGCAGAAACTTCAAACGCAAGGAGAATTCAAAATAAGTTCACAAAGATCAAAATTTCAAAGTTCGTCTTGCATACAGTAAGATGAATTGCTCATAATGTGTAGGCTAACTGTGACATAATCATTTGTATAGTATAATAAACTGGATGGTTTCCAGATAATTTCTTAAGTACTTATAAGCTGCGTTCACATTCTCTTTTTAAATTTCCCTATATAAGACTTTAAAAAAAATCAATCAACAAACTTTAGGTTTAAATTTTTTTTAGCATAGAATTCAATATTCAAAAGCCACTTATTAAGACTATTCTTAAAAGTTCATGTTAAAAGTTAGCTTGTTTCAGCAATAAATTTTAAAAAAGGCTGATATAAATAGATGTAATTCAATAGCTTTTTTTCTTGACAATAAATGTAGTGTCCGTACTTTTAAAAAGTGAAAAAAGTCAACTTCAAATTCAAATGAATGAAAAAATATTCTAGATTTTGAAAATTGTACATTGAAAAGTATAATATTACTGAAGATCACATTTTTATTGTAAATTTATTAAAATACAACCCCACGTGTAGGGACGCTTCAGATTATGGTTATCTTGCACTTTTGGGCTTTTTATTGCCCTAGCTTTTAAACATGTGATTCACGAATGCCATGATGCTATAATATTTCAAACAATTATCAAAAGTGAGTCTTAAAAACACATTAGCCATTTGTAAACTGGCAATTTTTTTTTTTTGTTTTTTTTTTTTTTTTTTTGACAGATACACCTGTTTTGGTAATTTAGTCCCCTCATGCACTGTCTATTTTCAACTTCTAAAATTTCTTACAGGAAATGTTCTTTAAGCATGCATTTATATCCTTTCAAAAAAAAATGACAGAAATATATTAATTTGAATTTCAAAATGCAATTTATTGAAGTGGGATAGCATAACGCCAAAAATGGCTATTTTGGGGACATTTTTATTGCCATAAGTCAACAACAAAGATATATATTTATTGACTTGACATTTGGTGATTATTAGGAAAGGTCATTGTACAAAATGTTGAATATAAGAAATGGACTGTAAATACTGGAAGTTGTTTTTCAAACTGCATATAACATCAGAAAATCAAAAACTGGACAAATACCGTGTTTTAGCCGTATTCTCCTGTCTGTTTTTTTTGGGGCAAAATCATTCTTTATTCCTTTCTTTTTAAGCTTTTAAAAAAAAGGTAATATTTTTACCAAACACAAGGTTATAGTGAAAGCCATCTGATTGTTAAACGCATCAGGCGTATATTATAACGATATCCTCTGTTTTCTATGTGTATAATATGCACATTATGTTTGAAATAACATATAAATGTGGTATATACATTATGTCTGAAATCAACATAGACATTCTCATCTTATATATGTTTATGTTTCTACCCAATTGCAAAAAAAAGATGTGTATTGTATTTCACATCTTATTATAGTATAATATTCATCTTGTTAGAAAACGGACACCTCTTTAAATGTAAAGGATATATACACAAGGAGTTTAAATTTCTGTTCCTTTTCTATTTCACTTTATCCTCTTACCACTCCCTTAATATAAAGTCTTTTAAAAGTGCAGTTTTTAGCTAATTTTGTAATTTTGTTTGATTAAATATTTGAAGTTTTGCATCAACGTTTTCTTTTTTCGAAATATTATATTTGTCGATCTGTTTAAATGATAACTTCTGTTAACGTACATAAAACGATCTATATTTTGACTAGTGAATAATTATCATCTAGTATGCTATCATATAGATGTATTCGCTAAATGAACAAAAGCAGGTGTGTAATATCATAGCCATGTTGGTAATACAGAATAATTCACTGATCGCCACACTAGATGCCACTGTGTTATAATAGATTTATTAAAGAGGCATTAGATAAGATTAGATAAAGAGCTGACAGTTCTCAATATGATGGTTAAAAAATAGATAATCAAAATTTGCTAAAAGTTTCAGTCAAATTCTTCATTCTGAAAGGAGATATTTGCGAGTCAATTTTAAGCTATAGCCTTGATCGCCATTGCTACCTTTGGTACGATAATAAAACAAAGTCTCGATTATCCATTTTTATGTTAACTAATCCATCACAAAAGGTATTCAAATTCACTACATATAGCAGACTTACGATGGCATCGAGAGTTGATTATGGTATTATGGTCTGGATAAGTTAATTAATGTCTAATTAAACATACATTATGCAAGAGCTAAAATCTGCCTATTGCAGTTATTCCTTTAGGCCTGAAATGTTATCTAAATTAACAATTAGACATTAGTTAACTTATCCGTACCATAATCAACTCTCGATGGCATCGCTAGCCTGCGATCTTGAGTAGGTAGATTATGACCTGATTTACTGCATAACTTCACTTCACGATTAAATCAATAAATGGATAATCGAGACTATGCCTTTTATCGCACTGACTTTAGTAATGTTGATCGAGGCTAGGTGGAAATTTCAATCGCTTCATTCTCGGTTTATAGTGGATCAATTTGACTGAAATTTTCAGCAAATTGCCTTTACATTTCTATTCTTTTCTTTACATTGTCTAGTTTTTAACTATTATTATGAGAACTGCCAACTCGTTGTCTAATCTCCCATAATGTATCTTTAATAATTTAGATAACATTTCAGGCCAACAGAGAGACCTACAATAGGCAGATTTAGCTCTTGCATAATGCGTGTTTAAAGTCACACTATGTAAGAATTAGATGGGCCAAAAAATGTTACCCATTCTGATTGTACACTATACTTTTTAAAATGTGAATACTTGAATTAATCAGTGTTTTTCAGAAAAGTGTCATAGAACCCTGAAGTTTATATTGGATAATAATAATCTCCTATTTTGTCATTATTTCTGATCAAGGTTAAATAATTAATGACATGCTCAACTCTTCTCGGATTGGGTAACATTTTAATATTAAATCATTAAATGACAATCGTGTTTCAATCCATTTACATATCGGCCATCCGATTGCCTAGAGGTCTGATTATAGGCTTGGTATGTGAATCAATGTCTAAATAATAGTTTATATAACATTTGAAGCCAAAATAAAGACCTGCAATTGACAGATTTAGCTCTTACATAATGCATATGTAAGTATTATAAGATGAAAATTGTTCTGTGCTATAGGCATTTCGTTTATCAAATATTCGTTTGCTTAAACGGAAATGATTATCTGTGTTCTGTATTTATTATATTACTCAAAATACACTGTGTTAACACGCTGCAATGTTCTGCTCTGCTTTTTTTTATAAATAAAACAAAATATTATGTATGTTCTTAAATTAAATCTTTATTAGATTTATTAGGTATATAACTTCAATAATAAACTGTGTTATCACACAGTAGTGTAATGTTCTACTCTGTTTCTTTATAAAAAAATAAAAAAATATTATGTATATTCTTATATCAAACGTACGGTGTATTGCTTACAGGTATTTATAAATAAAACAAAAATATTATACATGGTCTTAAATCAATTGTTTATTGCTTAGTGGGGCCTATCTGCAACAGTAAAAGAGGGAAGTAAATCGAGTAGGATTACTATTTTATTGTTAAATCATATTGTATCCTTTATCATGATTTTTAATTATCAGTACATCTAAAGCTTATTTATATTATTCTTTTAGTGATCACTGGGTCCTATATACAAGCATTAATTTACACAAAAGATCAGTATCTATTTTATGAAATTGAAATGGGGTTTAACGTCCTATTTTTCTGCACAGACTGGGCTAATGAAGTCTGGATCTATTTTACCCTTTATTCGTTATAATCGTGATTAGAAAGTTAATTTATAAGTGCCTGACATCATCTGTATATTATATATCATTTATGCATTTGACTAAACAATCTACTACCAACGTAGTATTTAATTATAGGCAGAAACTAAATTCCATATTAAAAATAGTGTTGTATTTTTTTTTTTTTAAATTTAATTTCTGGCAGAATTTCCAAAAATAATTGAAAGATTTTGATAATGGAAATGAATATATAGAAATGGGTCTTCATAACGGAAAATTGTACCTGAATTAGACCTTTTATACATACTTCTGTTTAAAATAGCTAGCTTAATACATATTTATCTTTTAGGGGATCACGTGGCTAAGTGGGTAAGACGCTAGCTCGCTAGCCTGGAGGTCGGGTGTTTGATCCCTGCATTGGCCGAGAAAGTTCTTCCAGATTTTCCGGCGTGGTTCTCCCTTGTCAGTGATGCAGGACGGAGGGGCTGACAAGGAAAGCTGTCTAGTCGTTCGGATGGGACGAAAAACCGAGGTCCCGTGTACACATTGGCGTGCACATAAAAGATCCCTTGGCAGTTGGAATTCGATATAAGAGTAGGCCGTAGTGCCGCTGTCCGGGCAAAATTTCCCTCATAGCACACTGTATGGCGTATGCCCGTCTTCATTAGCCCAGTTTAGGAGCAGAACAGTAGGACGTTAAACCCCATTTCATTTCATTTCATTTATATTTATCTTTTAACATTTCAAGTAAACTTTTACACTAACACGTAAATTGTATTTCACACCCTATTATAGTATCTAATATTTTTTAGTTCATCAATACTAGATTGTTATATTTTTAAGTTCATCAATATTAGATTGCAATTTTTTTAGTTCATTAATATTAGATTATAAAAACCCACATGATTATATCGTACCAAAATATGTACAAACTATACAATTACAAATTCTGTATAATAATAACTATAATGTCCCCCTAAAACAATACAGAAATAGATAAAGGACACCTCTTTCTAAAGATTTTATAAAGAGTTTAAATTGCTGTTCCTTTACCTTTCGAATTTCATAGCGTTGGGTCGAGTATAGTTGTCCAATATGTGGGCTTTTAAAAGACACATACAATAAGGTATGCCATTCCATTTATAGTTAAGTGGCGTGGTTCGACCTTAAAAAGAAAACATATCACTGATAATAATTTACTTACATAAAAGGTTTGCATTATTTCTCTCGAAATGTTTATTTTCTCTATATTGTATGTAAAATAATATATTATTTACAACCAATTCTGAATTTTAAAAAAAATTATTTACAATCAATTTTTATTTATTTTGTGAAGAGGTATTTAACTGTATTCATAGATTGCGTTGATTTAAACCCACCGGCAATCATTCTTTATCTTTTTTTTTCTTTTTTAAAACAAATAGTTAATACATGTATTTTTTACCAAACACAGACTTTATTTTTAATCATTACAAAGGTAATGAAATCCAACTGATTGCTAAACACATCCTACACGATATCCTCTGTTTTCTGTGTGTATATGCACATTATGTTTGAAATTAACATAGAAATGTGTATATACATTATGTCTTAAAATAACCTAGACATTCTCATCTTATATATGTTTATGTTTCTAATTAACCAAAATTATACCCAAGATGTTGCAAATTCCTGGTCGGTTGTAAAAATATGTGTATTATATTTCACATCTTATTATAGTATAATATTCATCTTGCTAGAAAACGGACACCTCCTTAAATGTAAAGGATTTATATACAAGGAGTTTAAATTTCTGTTCCTTTTCTATTTCCCTTTATCCTCTTACCACTCCCTTAATATAAAGTCTTTTAATAATGTAATTGTTAGCTAAAGCGGCCCATACACGCACACATACGTTTTCATCAATAGACTTGTTTAGTGTTATTAATGAAAAATCTGTCTGTACTATACGCATTTCATTTTTTAATTATTTTGCCCGGAAATGAATAAGTATAAAAAAATATTATGTATGTTCTTAAAGAAAATCTTTATTAGATATATTTAACTGCAATAATTAACTGTTTCTTTATAAATAAAATAAAAATATTATGTACGTAAAAATGTAAATTTTATTAAAAGTGTTTATCAATTAAAAATATATATATATTATGTGTATGTTCTTAAATGCGATCTTTAATGAATTTATTATTTAGTTATAATGGTAAACTGTGTTTTAAACCACACAGTGCTGTCCTCTTCTTCGTCTTTGTAAATATATTTGTAAACATGTTCTTAAATGAAATGTATTTTACTTAAAGGTATTTGTTAATATAACAAAAATATTATTTCTGCTCTTAAAGCAATATAAAAAAGGCAATAAATCCAGTATGGTTTTATCTAAATGCATTTGTCTAAATCAATCTACAAAAATTGATATAAAATGTTTTTCCTTTAAATTTCTGACAAAATTTCAGGAAATTATTTGGAGGAATTTTATAGAAATGAATATAGAAAAGGACTTTTATAACGGAAAATAGTTTCTGAATCAGCCTTATTTTTACATAATGTCTTTTAAAATAGTTATTATATAGCCTTATATCGTTTACATTTCAAGTATACATGTAAGCACTTTATACTAAATTGTATTTCACATCCTAGAATAGTATCTATTCAATTTTATTTGATTTCTTTCATTTGTCTTTTATAATATTAACATTCATTCAATATTCGATTTTTAATACTTTTTATTTCATCAATACTAATTAGATTGTTATATTGTTTCAGTTCATCAATATCAATTTGAAATGTTTTTGTTTTCGTCAATACGATTGAATTTTTTTTTTTTTAAGTTCATTAATATTAGATTATAATATAATCTCACATGATCATATCGTACCAAAATATGTACAAACTATACAATTACAAATTCTGTATAATAATAAAACTACAACGTTCCCCTACAACAATACAGATATAGATAAAGGACACCTCTTTCTAAAGATTTTATAAAGAGTTTAAATTGCTGTTCCTTTACCTTTTGAATTTCATGGCGTTGCGTCGACTAGTTGTCTAAAATGTGCGCTTCTAAAAGACACATCATGTAACATCGTATTAAAAAAAACCAATATTATTTACAACCAATTCTGAATATTTTTGTAAAGAGGTATTTAGCTGTAATAATAGATTAGGTTTATTTATCAGCACTTGTAATGTTTCCTCTACTTCTTTAGTTAAATACTAAATCCAACAGAAATGTATTAGTTTATGTAAACTACTAAACTGATAAGTGATATCGGGTATTCTTAGAAAGATCATATTCCACAGTATAATCAAAAACAGGACCTTTGATATTTTTATCATGATTTTTGTCTTGTCTCTATGTTGTTTTTATTTTCAAAAGCATTAATTAATAAGCATCTTGTTAAATAAGAATACATTTCATACTTTCATTGCTGTTTTTAGTTCTCAGTATTAAAACATTCCCCTCTTCTGTTATTGCTATTATGTTGAGAAATAAAAAAATATTGCATAGTGGGTTTTTTTTAATTCTTAGTATTAAAGTACACGAACATCGTACTTGTGCAAATCAAATGTGGATATCATTTCCTCTTTTCTTGCAAAGCAGTAGGACATTAAACCGATTTCATTTCATTTCATTTTTTCTATTGTCAAACCTCGTGGGCTTTCTCCGGGTCCTCCGGTATTCTCCTACTGCTAAAGACCCCTACGCGCATGCGAATTATTGAATTAAAATTGAACGTGTGTTAGTCCCGAAATGACATAGTTTGTGCCGAGCGCACGTTACCCCCTCTCTCTCTCTCTCTCTCTCTCTCTCTCTCTCTATATATATATATATATATATATATATATATATATATATAATATATCCTTTTATCATGATAGCAGCCATTGCTATTATGGATCATTAGTTGCCAACTGATTCGTAAAAGTATTTGATATCCTCTGTATTTATTCCTATGTTTTTCATATTATATTGTATAATATTAGTCTAATACAATGTAGATATACAATAGAAATATTTCATATTTGTATGTTCTTATTTGGCTATTATCTACCATTAATATGGTAAAACAAATATAATACAAAACTTGATTTATTGATTTATTAACAATAATCTAAAAGTTTACACAGTAGAATATATTATAGTGAATTCCTTTGTTATTTTTGTTCTCCCCAGAGCTCTTATAACTGGATTTATAATATTTAGTGATAATGCTGAAAGTAATGACTTGTTATTTTTTTTCTCACCAAAGTTCTTATATTGAGTGATAATGCCTAAAGTAATTATTTGTTATTTTCTTTAGATCTATAAAATGTAGTTGGTATAAATTTTGTATAATGTAAAAATAAAACAAAATCCTCATTTTCCTGATCGTTTTGTTCTTTATACAGCATATATAGACCTGTACTATACAAAATGTCTAAACCCATCTTTTACTTTCAAAGATGACCATACCACACTCAGCCCTTGTTCCCGTAACAGTGGTATTATTGTCCTATATAAAATTCATAACAGAAATAATTGGCTACTGAATATTGAAACATTTACATATTCATGTTCATGTGTTGTTAGTTTGCTCCACCAAATCATTCATTTGGTAGTCGTTTTTAGTATATATTAAATATTACGTAAGTAATGGGTTAGCTATCTAACCTATCTAATAAATATTAAGAAATTCATAATATAAATATTAAAAAATTTATAATATGAATATTAAGAAATTCATATAATATTAATTTTAAGAAATTCATAATATAGTCTATTAACTGTAATTGTTGATTAATCCATTACTTATGTAAAATAATATTAAATCTATACTTAAAATAGAGTCTATGAGTAATTGTTGATAAATCAATAATGTTATATCTATATTTAAAATAGAAGTGTTATTAACGAATATCAAACGTACAATTTAGTGTGGGAAACAGACACAGAAATTCTGTAAAAATTCTTTTATAAATAATTGTATGATGAATAATAAGGCATACCCATGCAGTACGAGTAATACCTCATACCAGTCTTTAATAAGGAGTAATTTTGACAAACAACATGCGGAAGGAAATTAGCGATATCAAGTGTAGCAAGATAAGGGGGGGAGAGATGTATTTACCAGACACTAAGATATATTTTCAGTAATAATTAAATAAAGAAAGGTGTATGTGTACTCTGTGACAATAATTGAGACATTTCGTCTCATAGCGAACATGCAGACTGTTAAACGAATCGTGTTCTTTATTTCCAAAAGTACTATTTTATGATGATAAACATTTTCTTGATTTGGTTCATTGGCCTTCTAAAAAGACAGATGTTATGTTTCAAGACGGACGACCCTCTATAGCGACATATTTTCCTATCACAAAACAAAATCAAACGGTTAAAAGAATGTATTACTGGACAAAGTTAATAATTTGAAACCACTGTATTCAGCAAAGAAGTTTCACTTTTAGTTCTGTTGTTAATACTATTTAGCACTGCACAATAAAACACAAATTACTACTTTAATAAACTAGGACTTTTACACAAACATATTTAAAATTACATGTAAGCAATATTTATGACATTAGACATGTCAATTACTCCCAAACAAAACTTCAGGAACAGCAACTAACAAATTCAGAATAACATGTTAAATACCCTACCCCCAACGCTCACGCTATCAATCGCCATTTCCGCCAATTGCGATAAAAATATAATTTTGGAGATAAAATATTCAATCTGGCGAAAGTTTTGGAGGTAACTTTTTCCTGTGCGGCGATAATTTTTTCTTTCCAAAAAACTTTGATTTCCACGCCGTGCATCCGTCTATTGCGCTTGGCTGAGTCAATTACCCATCAGTTAGGTATCAAAAAAAGGATTTAACTTTATCTATTAATCAATCTCGGATTAGTGTTGATAATTCAAAAAGGCGGATATGAACAATACTCGTTCGATTTGTTTGGGATTATTGGATTGTGCAATCTGTTTGATATTTTTCTTAGTGCAGTTGCCGGTACCCTTAATAAATAATAAATAAAGCCAGGGTTGTTCTAACAGTTTATAAATGCGTATATATTCTTGGGGTTTTCGAAAGCCAGATTTGTCTACGGTATCAGTAATATTATCACCCTTGGTGGAAGTGAGCGTAAAACTCTAGGAACGAACGAACGAACGAACGAAAACCTGGCCCCGGAGCTTCTCCTTTGTTGGATGAAATTCACCTTGGGCACTTCCCTGCAAATACATTGTGTCTTACCCCAAAAAGCTGGATCAAGCCTATTCTGTGGCTTCCCCAGGCAAGTTTCTTTTAGGAAACACTTGTCTACGATGTCACTCTTGATGGAAGTGGATATAAAACTCCAGGAATGAACGAAGGAAAGGCAGTTATAATTAAATCATATGTCATGGATCGTAAGCGAAAAATTGAACAGCCTTCTTTAACGTCCGATAATAATAGAACATTATCAAATAACACACTATTTATGGATAACAATTACTGTGGTTTATTTCACTGCGACGTTTCAAAACGACTTGTGAAATCTTGTTGAAACGTTTGTGTTATATGCTTGATAACGACTTGTGAAATCTTGTTGAAACGTCGCAGCGAAATAAACCACAGTAATTGTTATCCATAAATAGTGTGTTATTTGATTATGTTCCAATTACTAAATGCCATTTAAAGAATAAAATAATAGAACATTGTCAGATTAGTTTAGTATACCACCACTAAAATGTTCCAAGACTACAGATGATACTGACCTCAAACTAAAACTCACACACGGCATGATTTCCAGACAGTTACATGGCTGCACACAGGCACATCACACTCACATGGCTTTATTATTGACAATCAGAACACCTTGTTAAGGGAAAGGTAAAGTGACACCATTTTGTGATCAAATGCGTACGCGTTAACCTTTCGGCCACGCAATTTACTTAAAAAGCAATAATTCATCTAATGTACTGGCATGTACATCAAATGGAATACCACATTATTTACAATTTTTTATACCCACCTGTTATTATATTAAAGTCAAAAATCCCAAATCAGATTTCAGTTCCTGACATTCATTAGACAAGTATTCCTATATTTCTGAAAAATAAATAAGTATTTTTCAATTCATTTTTCTAAGTCCAACACATACACAATTTCTATAATTAAACATCAATATGCATGTACATGTACCGGTAATTGGCGGTAAATGCTTCAATGGATCCAATGGGAAATGATATCAGATATTCTAATTAATTAGATGCTGGCATACATGAATCACATCCATTCACAGATGTACAATGTGCATGTCTTCTAGAAGAGTTAGTATGATGTAGATTTGTAAACTTACCAATGAGGTTTGTGTAAAACAACACTAATCACTTCACAAAAGTGTAGCTTTACTACTGTCTAGATAGGGAATGTTTTTGATTGGCATGGATGTGATGGTTGCTTTAGATATGCTAGATTTAAAAAGGATACATCAACCGTCGTTTGGGGGAATTTAAATCACATATTATTTTATTTGAATAGGAATGTTTAATGTTTTTGAGGTTTTTTTTCATATAATTAGACAGTAAGTACCATTTTAAAGTATTTTTTTTATCTTAAATGCCAGTTAATTTGTAATGCTGCTTTAAACCCGATAAACAATACATTAAAACACCATGATTTTGTGACAAGATAAACGGGGAAAGGGGAGGGGGTGCTAGATGTATACTACCTCCTTGCTCATGAAGACATTTAATATGATCTGAATGTTATAAATGAAATGGGGTTTAACGTCCTACTGTTCTGCTCCGACTGGGCCCAATGAAGACGGACTGAATGTTATACGTGTGAACATGCATCTATAGATGTACATCTGATTGCCCTTTTCTGTGGTATATTGAAAATTGGAAGAAAAGAAATATTTATCCTTGAACGACATCTAGAAGTATAGTTAACTGTTTACAACAAAAAATAAAATAAGGTATTTATACACCTACTTATCTGTGATCTGTTTGTGGTTGGGATGGTCTGAATGGCTTCCCACATTACTCTTTTCTTCCATAATGGAATGTTTCTGGTCCAAACATTAGTATTATTCCATTCTATGTTGTGGGTAAAGTTTTCAATGATGTTCGTCTACTGCTGATTTGTTGGCTTCCATACGTCTTAAGGTTGTTGCTTCGTGCTCTTTAAGTCTCACAGATAATGGACGACATGTTTGCCCTATATACATATACACAGATTTACAACTATATTTAATTTCGTACACTATTCCTTTAACTTTTCGTATTTCTGTTCTCCCATAGCGTTGATCAGAGATTTTAATGTTACTCTCCCACTAAATGTTACATATATATTTAATTTGGTTAGTAATCTCGTTATCTCATGACTTTAACGTTATTAATATTATTTTCATGTGCTGTTGACCGATATCTTTTTTACGAAACGACGTTATCAAATAACAGGGAAGTATATATCTTGTGTTGTTTTTTGTTGTGAATACGAATTTAAAGATGCTAAATCTGCCCAAAACAGGTACCTTTTCCGGCTTCAAATGTCATACAAATTATTATTTAGACATTTTATTCACATGCCAGGTCCATAATCAACTCTTTATACCCTGGAATAGCTGGGAAATTAAGTGGAATAGGCCAATCGCGCCATTAAACGGTTAACGTATAAATGGACAATCATGCATCATGTAACAGCTAAATATTCCTATTGTGGGTCTTTTTTTTTCAAATGATATATAAATCATTATTTAGACATTATTATTTAATCACATGAAAAGCACATATTCAACTATCTACACTATTGGATGTCAAGACATCAAGCATTCCGAATAAAGTGATTTGATTAAAATTTTCAATATATTCTTTTATAATTATCCAATTTGAAACTGTTACAGGGGGAAAACTAGCCCCTTGTCTAAATCTTACATAATGTATCTAAACCTCCATATTCCTGAAGCAATGGCCCAAGAAATCTAATCAAACGAAACACTGAGTGGTGTTTGCTAAACCTCTAACTCAGTAATATCCATAATATTCGAAATCAGAATTAGAATTCAATATGGGTCTATTTCAATCAGCATTGATGTCGTTATCTTACCGGAAAATATGGGATACTAATATCCGATATTGAAGACATTATAAACATATCAAAATTAGGCACAAACGACTACATTTCAATTTTATTAGAAATTGCAATAATTATCTTTGTCATTGGAAGAGGGAGTGGGGCTGGCAGGGAATAGCGCCTAGTCGATGGAAAGAACGCTTTACAGTTGCAATTCGTTTAAGCATAGCGACAAATGTCGCTGCCATCGTAAATGTTCTCTTATAGGTCACTGCAAGGCGCATGCCCATTTCCATTAGTTCGGTTGATACCGTTTTCATCCTATACTAAAAAAAAAACCCCAAAAACCCAAAAACGTCAGTACGTTTTCAAAATCAGAGAGGCACTTTAATCAAATCATTCTAGAAAATTTTGGGTGAACAGTATGTTGACACATTAGTGATTAGGCCTAATTCATCACAATTTCAAGACATTACGAGGTTTAGAGTCTGTACACAGTCTATACATCAGTATCTGGTGTGTCCACAGGGACGTAACTAGCTCAGAGCAACGAAGGGGGGGGGGAGTGTTCTCAGGGGGTGCTGTAAAATTGACGGACAATGTATATCTATTGTTTTTATGGTCGACAATTTTTTCTCGGGGGGGGGGGGGGCTTTTTGCAGGGGGGGGGGGGCTGTGTGTCGACCACGAGTGTCAATAACAGCAGCGCAGCGTCTGTACATGGAGTGGACCAGGCGATTGATGGATGCCATTGGCACCTGGAACCACACTCTCAGAAAAGCTTGGCGCAACTCATCGGCTGTGTTTGGTCTCGGTTCGACGTTATTAAGTCTCATCTGAATTTCATCCCAAAGATGTTCAATCGGGTTTAATTCCCGACTAAGGGCTGGCCAGTGCATAACGTTGACACCGTTCTGCTTTAGAAAGTACCGAGTAACTCTGGCGGTGTGGGCACGGACGTTGTCATGTGGAAAACGTTGTTTCGATGACATGCGAAATGTGGTATGACGTGGGGTCTGAGGGCTTAATCAATGTAGCGCACTGCTGTGATGCCGCCTCCTCTCCCTGGACCAAGATTTTGGAAGACCTCAGGACACACTCTCTGGTTCAGGCCGATTCTACCCCAAACCATTATGCTTGAACCTCCCGATGAGTCTCGTTCCATGACACATTGGTCAGAATAACGCTGGCCACGTCGACGCCATATTCTGGCCCCGCCATCTGCAGTTGATACGCAATACCGACTCTCATCTGTGAACAGAAAAGTTCCCCATTGCCTGTGTCGCCAAGAGCAGCTGTACACACAATCTGATTAAAACACAGATCCTATTTCATTTCCTTTTTATAGTTCAAAATTTCGTTTTACTTGTCTTTACTACACAAGGATCTGGAAGAGTTGTTATCATTGACGTGTTCTGAATAGTGTGAGTTTTTAGCCAATGAAACGGTCTGTTACGGCGAGCTTTAGGCGTGTTTTGCACGGAACTGTGGGTAATCCACTAGTAACATCAATGCTGATTGGTTAATCATATGTCTGACGTCATAGGCTTAAAAGCCGCCCGTATGACCTCTGACGTGTCCTATCGGAACAACCGGTCAGATCTTCATGTAATTAGGCCATCGAAAGTATAAAAAAAAACGAAACGAAATATAGATCTGGGCCCTTATTCACGAAAACTTAAACTAAGATACAATCGAAATTTTAAGAAATACTGCAATTCGATTGGCTGACCAGTAAAATCAATTTGCATATATCCAATTTGCATATTGGTCAGCCAATCGAATTGCAGTATTTCTTAAAATTTCGATTGTATCTTAGTTTAAGTTTTCGTGAATAAGGGCCCTGTTGAACATCTACAAACACCATTTCACTTTATAAAACTTGACTGGTAAATGAAATACTAGTTGAGGAAATCTCATTAGCAACCATCTCTTCAATATTCTGATATGGATAAAAACAATTACTAAAATTAAACGACCGATATATTGTCTGCTAAAGTTGGTAATTTGAGGATAAAATACAAGCTATTTTAGACAGAATACTGTCATTCATCAGCCCTACATTGAGCATACGTACGATATGATTAAAAGTTAGACTAGAAATCACATAGGTTAACCAAACCTTTGTTAGGACTCTCATACTAATATGTGCTGATTTGACCAAACGTGATTGGCAAACTGTAATAAATTTATCTAACTGAATATGTCATCTTTTTGAAGATATTAAATAGTTTTGCCATTCTCAAAACATCTTCACAAAATGTGTCATAAGTCTGTTGATACAAATCCGCTTCTAATTTTGGACTGAAAACGTAGATAATAGATTTCAACTAGATTCACAATACATTACATATGATTAAAAGAATCTCATGCATTATTAACAAATAACTACTGCAATACTCACAATGGCTGTGATTGTTCGTTTGACTTATTTATGAGTATACAGATACTTTACCGGTTACCGGTTATGCCATAAATACGCAGTAAATGGTGATTTATTATGATAATACATTTTGAATTGGAATTATAACGTTGCGTACTTCATATTTTTATTATTATAGCACACATCTTGTTTTTAAACACAATCTAATGAAAATTGAAAAATATGATTAAGGAGAAAGGGTGGTGCTATATATATTTTGTTTTTCGTCGTGTTATATATATCTATACTGATCTAGCGGTTGAAAGTGATTTAATAACAAACATCCGTGAGCTACGCGGATGAAGTTTGGGCTATTTCTGTACATTGGCTTTTGTATACCGAAACCCACAGGAGGTCCATACACTACGATATTTGACATAATTATCTCCGTTGATGTTCAAATTTATAAAATCTTATGAACGCAATCAAGACACATTTATCGGGTTACTCAAAACTTCTATACATTTTCATTTTAGGTCTTTCCAAAAATTTTTTTTTTTTTTTTTTTTTAAAATAATAAAATAATGGGCACATTTACCATTATATAATAATATATATGTCGTGATAAGTTTAATGAGTTGCTAGAATAGTTCTGTATAGAAGCCAGCAAGAGGTTGAGCATTGATAAAACATTAGACGTCATAATGTATTACTCCGACCCCCCTAACGAGCGTCCATAAATCGTGTACATGTATATGTGTATTCGTGAAATACTGTCTAGTAAATGTGATAATATATATTTGTGACTGTCGTTTGTCTGTCTGTCTTTCTGTCTGTATGTCTGTTCGGGGTTGGCGGCTACACTAGGTCTGCCCCGAGTCTGAAATTTGGGGTATAGGGGTAGCTCGGACCGGGGACTAACATAGGCCTGGTGGCGTTAGTCTACCACTTCCGGTTTCGGAGTTATGACCCCCGAGCGAAGCCGGGTGTCCTGCTAGTGTGATATATTTCAGATGCGTCCAATAGCCAACAGTGATGATTAAGGGTAGACAACTTCAGTTAATAAACATGACCGCAATTCTCTGTAATTTTCTTACTATAACAATAGGCTCCACTATCATGATTTGTTGCCACGTAGATTAGATATATAAAATGAAAATATTTAGCTTAAAGAACTAAAGAATAAGCATCACCCGGGCAATATTAGCATCTGTCTTATGCGGTGTATCTATTGAGTGAGCGTAGACAAACAAAGTTGAAGAAATCTTAAATCACTTCATTTGTTTTTGTTTTTTTTTGTTGTTTTTTTTTTTTTTTGGGGGGGGGGGGTATGGTCGAATGGTTAGCACGTGCGCGCTGTATCATAAAACCTGTCATTGAGTCAACTGGCGTGGTTTCGAATCCCGGTTGTACGTGACAAGGAGTAGGGTCGCCTGTCCAACCTCGTGGGTTTTCTCCGGGTCCTCCCACTGCTAAAGACCCCTACGCGCAAGCGAATTATTGAAATAAAGTTAAACCATATGTTAGTCCCGAAATGACCTAGTTTGTGTCCAGTGGACATTAAAACCCATTTCTCTCTCTCTCTCTCTCTTTCATTTGTTGTTTGAACATCTGATTATCCGCTACCTGAACAGAAAAAAAATCCGCAAAGAAGCAAACATGTTTAAGTTTTGACTCTCTGTGATCTCTATCATCTAATGATGACTCTTATACAAAATTCAAAGAATTCCATTCACCTATTCTGAAAAAAAAACACTTTGTGTTAATCTAAAGTCTGCAATTTAAAGGTATAGTCGAGTCACATCCCCCAGATCCGTGACCATTTCTCGGGGAACGAGCTTTGATGATGGTTTCTTATAGAGCCGAAAATACAAGATAGCTGCCAAATCGGTTTGAAATTGACCTTGGCAAACAATGTTGGCGAAATGACCCGTGTAATAATCCTTTTGTAGGTTTTGTTGGTCAACCGACCCATATTCGACAATTTCCAATTCATTTCACAATCGATTTAGCAAAATTAATATGTCTTCACTGGGGTCCCTTCTGTCAGAAACCATCGTCAAACCTTGTTCCCCGAGAAATGGTCACGGATCGGGGAGTGGGGGGGGGGCGACACTAGTATCCCTGCCCAACCCCGACGACAACTAGCAATGTAGTCTGAATAAACAACATCCTGTCGATATACCTACAAATATAGTTGGAGTCCACCAAGCGGTTCAGATGAATAATATGTCGAAATGAAATATGCCTAAATGTGGTTTATTTTAACTAGTCCGGTGGCTGAAGGGGGGAAATCGCCACCCGAGCTGTGATTTATGAGACTAAGTTTTTCTAGACCATTTTTTGCGTAGATTCCGAATCTGGGTGGTGATCAAGCGTTTGAGGGGGCGTTTTCGAGATATAGGGGGTCAAATTTCTACAATGGGGGTGGGGGGGAGATGACATTATGTTGACGTAATATATTAATAAAACATAAATTTCTAAGACTGCCCATCTATAAATAAGTGTTTATGATGCCCCTGGACAACTGTTTTGAATTTTGGGGAGGTGGGGTGGGAATAGCAGGTGTAGGTGTGTGTGGGTGTGTGTGTGTGTGTGTGTGTGGTGGGTGGGGGGTCATTATGTTGACATAATATATTAATAAAACATAAATTTCTAGGACTGCCCATCTATAAATAAGTGTTTATGATGCCCCTGGACAACTATTTTGATTTGTGGGGAGGTGGGGTGGGGGTAGCAGGTGTGTGTGTGTGTGTGTGTGTGTGGTGGGTGGGGGGTCATTATGTTGACATAATATATTAATAAAACACAAATTTCTAGGACTGCCCATCTATAAATAAGTGTTTATGATGCCCCTGGACAACTATTTTGATTTGTGGGGAGGTGGGGTGGGGGTAGCAGGTGTGCGTGTATGTTTGGGGGGGGGGGGGTACAATTGGCGGGAAGTGAGTTAAGGTTGGTAAAAACATTACTTTTTAATTCCACTGAACATCTCTAAATATGTGTATACGATTACCATTGTATGGGGGAGGGTAAATGTATTTTGGGGGACAAAAACCACTTGGTTCAAAATTGACTTGAAAAGTGCTTTCTCGAGTTTTCGATCAGTGCCAATATCGTCATTCAAAATATTAAATTATAATGGTACTTTTCGAGGGATCTGGAAATGTACATATAAAACACATGTTTAGATATTAGTTTATTCTTATAATATGTGCGGGATAGATATCTTCTTGGTGGCTGATCAACAGCCTGCGTATATCCTTTGGATATGCTTCAGATACCCATTCACATTGTAAATCTTCATTCCAGCCTTGTATCGCAGGGTCATCTTGTTCGATCATTAATTTTGCAACTTGTCTCCATATTGCTGCAACATAATTATTGCGTTTAATGTGCAGCAAAAGACTACTCGGGCAAGATGGTAATAAAGAAAGAAAGTTTTGTTATTTTTCATCACAATTAAAATTTCTCCAGAAGATACTTCTTCTAGTGTCATCTCCTGATGTAAGTCGGTTTTCGCCGTACAAGGTACAAACAATTTTTTCTAAACCAGCAATTACGTCATCAGAAGCATCATTTATCTATCCCAGCTCTTTAAAAATTGTTAGAAAGTTGGGATTATCTCGCAAAAGAAAGACAGATAGTCATTACCACTGAAAGCATGTACCGTAGGTCGAGATATTCTGGACACTTTCAATACTAATCTTGATTGGATCAAAAAATATCAAGATTAGTATTAAAAGTGTCGAGAATATCCTAGAACTGACAACCAACCACGAGGACACCAACATATCTTACCTACTCCTCTTCGCATTGTAAATTAATGCAGGTGCTGAAACAAATTGCATTCTGCGTTCTTGCTCGGGCGAAATAGACATCCCAATCATTCTCTTCGCAAACGATGATCCAAATATACAAATTTTGATCGATAATGAGACGGGCAAAGGTAGAAAATATCGCGAAAGACGACTTACATCACTAGATGGGTGAAAAAATAACAGACCTGTCTTTATTACCATCTTGCCTTATACGCGGTCTTTTGCTGCATGGCTGGAATGAAGATTTACAATGTAAATTGGTTTCTGAAGCATATCCAAAGGATATGCGAGCTGTTGGCCAGCAACCAAGAAAATATTTATCTCGCTCATATGAACTTTTGATTTTGAATCATCTGATGAGACAAAGAATAAACTAACAACTAAACATATCTCTGAGTTAATGTGTTTTTGATTTACATTTCCAGATCTTTTGAAAAATACCATTATAATTTAATATTTTGAACGAAAACGCTAACGAGATACCACTTTAAGCTCAATTATGAACGAAATGATTTCTGTCCACAAAAATACATGTTGCCACCCGCCATCACCCGCACCGCCCCCCCCCCCCACGGCGGGCACTCACCAAGGGCGTCCACCCCCATACAATAGGAATCTTATAAACATATTTAGAGGTGTTTCATCAAGCTCTTAGAAAAGCATCATTTAAATCAACGTGAACTCATTTCCCCGCCAGTTTTATCCCGACCAAACCCCTCCATACGCGCAAACCTGCTACCCCCAACCCACCTCCCCATAAATCAAAACAGTTGTCCAGGGGCATCATATCATAAACACTTATTTATAGATGGGCAGTCCTAGAAATTTGTTTTATTAATATATTATGTTAACATAATGACATCACCCCCCCCCCCCCCCCCATTGTAGACATTTGACCCCCTATATCTCGAAAACGCCCCCTCAAACGCCTGATCACCACCCAGATTCGGAATCTACGCAAAAATCTGGTCTAGAAAAACTTGGTCTCATAAATTCACAGCTCGGGTGGCGATTCCCCCCCTTTAGCCACCGGACTAAACGTCTTTATACATTTCTGCATCACCCGGGATAATGAAGACGGACGTAAATGTCATGCAGTGTGCTCTACGGCCTTATTTCGAATTCTAACTGTCAACGACCCTTTTACATGCACGCCAATGTGAACACGGGACCTGGGGTTTTCGTGATACCCGAAGGATTAGAACCGTTCCTCGACAGGTCCTCCGTCACGCACCACTGACAAGGTTAAACCATGGCGGAAAAACCGAGGAAGTTTCTCGGCCAACACCTGGAGTAGCACACGAGACCTGTTTAGAGAGCTAGCGGCTTACTCACTGAAACACCGCGGCTCCCAAGGAGGTTGAAAATAATTTACACTTGAAGAAAGAAGTGACAACAAATGTCACCAATTTAATTAAGTCTCTACCGGTCACATTTTGGGGAAAGACGGATAAAGTGAAAATGGGAGACAATATTTTGCCTTCTAGTCGTCAAAATTAAGTGCTCTGTCCTTCGACTATGTAATAGGTGCAATCAACACCGACAACGCCATGCCAGTATCGTAGAGCTATCTCTAGTAAAAACATTCAGTGAGATAGGGACAATTTACCTGATAATGAAACACTTTTACTTTCTTTCTTTCGAATACGATTTGAATACGACTAATTTGTAATGAATTGGCTATGGAATTAAAACATGTTGTCTTCGGCATAGGTTATTTTTTTTTTCATTAATCTTTCGGAAATCGATTGTATTAATATTTTCACTATTTAAATGTAGTGTAATAAACAGTAGGTCTATCGATCGCCACTCTAGAATTCTCATATTTTTTCGGGCATCATCATTACTCTTATATCAAATTCCAACTGCCAAGGGTTCTTTTACGTGTACGCCAACGTCCCATCCGAGCGACTAGACACTGTCCTAGTCTCGATCGAACCTGATTTATTTAATACCCCAATCGCCTCTATGGAGTACAAGAGAACATCGTATATTAAATAACAAAGGAAATAACTCCCATACAATATACCAACATTTTTATTATTAATAAATAATAATATTGTAATAAAATACTTTAAATTAAAGCCTTTTAATAAAATGACCTTTTGTCATTTATTTGTGAAGGACAAAATTTTTCATTTTATTTGGGACGTTCCCGTTGTCAATGATTTCTGTTGTATTTTTCTAGCCTTAGAACGTGCCAACTATATATAAGGAAATACTATGATGCAATCAAGTAAATATTGTCAGAATGAAGTAAAGTGGAGATTTGTTTTTTACCTGGACATATTTTTATTTATTTATGCATTAATCTACCGTAAACAAAGAAGTACTTGTACTTTATCTACTTTAATAGTGGGTAATTGTTTTACCTGGACGTATTTTTTAAAATTTACTTATGCATTTATCTACCGCAAACATAGAAGTACTTTATCTACACCCAGGTATATATTTCTGTTGTATAGGCCTTAACAAATAACAAAGCATAGCCTATATAAATATATGATCACAATGAACTTCAGTAATACAATAGAATATGTGATATAGTATATGTAAATAGTAGACAAAAAGTATACTGACATAACAGACCGGGAATCTTGGCACATCTTCAAAAGTGAACTGAATATTATTAGGTGCATACCAAGTTGTACCACAGGTTATGTAGACTAGTAAATCAACATATGGCTACAGTAATTAAAAGCATAAAGATACTTTCCTCGTTTTACAATGACACTGACTCATAATTCAGTCAGCAACATCTTTCATTCAAACTCAACTCAAATCATATATATGACAAGATCTCTTTTATTTTGTTTAAAATAAATAAAAAAATAAAAGTGTCGATGTAACTAAGTATCTGTCTACAAACCGTTGACCTACCGGTAAAACCAATGTTGGGGTATGTCTTCTTTTTTTTTTTTCATCATTCGACATTTTCCCTATGTCCATCACTAACCGACATAACACATGGGATAACGTATACTTATAAAGTATAACACATTATTTCCACCTAAATCAAAGAGGTTTGTCTCTTTTAGGGTGCATTTATTATTTCCCAAGAAATAATAATTGAAACCTAAAAGAGAAATAAAGGAGAGCACCTTTCAAAATGATTTGAAATAAAAGATAAAAACTACAAATATTTGAAATTAGAAGATCACATATGTATGCATTACTTTATTATGTGTGCTATTATATAAAGCTTTTCAACTGTATTTAAATATATACATCTGACATTCCGTTTTGAATCATACTTCCCCATTATAAGGATACATACACGTCCTTTCAAACATACACACATCCGTCTACACACATTCATATTATAATCGTTTGTTCATATACAACTCACGAAACTAAATATAAATAATTAAATATACACACATCCGTCCACATCCTAATGATGACATAGAGAACACACATTCATTTTATAATTGTTTGTTCACATGGAATTCACAAGAACCGAAATATAAATAAATTAATAAGCGCTTCATATGGCAAGTAAAGTACGTTTTCAGCAAACTGACAACTCTGCATTTGTCAAATCCACATAAGCATTGACACCCCTAAGCCTTGGGGGACGTTGATCACAGTTACAGTCTTTGTTTTTCGCTGCTATACGATCATAATGATTACCATTCGTATGACATAAAGCAATGAAACATGGATGATACGACATTCCACTATCATAGGAAAATCTAGGTTGAAACAGCAACCAGTTGTAAGAGTCCCCCGTGTGATCCGGAGACAATACAAATATGTCTCTCTGTAGCAACGTTGCTGCGGCGTAGATCTCCATGGTAGTACTCCATGTTGACGGAAGTCTCATCTCGTTAATATGTTCACGTAAGGAAGCCCCGCTATCAAGATATTGTTCAAATTCTTTGGGATATTTTTCAATAACATCGACCACAGCTTGACGCACTTCTGAGTGAAAACTTTCTTGACCGTAAATGTCTTTACTCAAAGCACGGAAAAAACAGTTGCCATCACCTTGGATATAATCGATCTGCAGATTATCAAAATCCAATCTTGATTTGAGATATGCGTAGAGCGGGTAGCCAGGAGTTGACTTAATATCTGTTGTCTTGACGGATTCAGAGGTCGAGGGTCGATCGGAATCTTTCCTAGAGCTTTCAGTCCGAGAGCTTTCTGTGGGAGATCTAAAACATTCCGTTAACGAATCATCGATTTCCAAAACGGGTGGAAAACTGAACTTATCCGTAGGTCGAGCACGATCCGAGTGACCGTCCACCCTTCCCTCGCGGGTTGAGTGTCCGCCTCGATTCTGTGAAGTTCTCACCTGAGTTGCCGCGGGTCGTCTTTTCGTGGGACGACCTTTGTTGCGCAAATTTTGCATTCCATTATTATTGTTATTTTCTCCCACAATCATCAAATCGTCATAATCACTTTCATCGGAACAGTAATCTACATCCACAAATCGCGGTGGCTGTCTCTGGATTTCGGCGAATTCTCGTCGTGGTTCACTTATAACTTGAATAGGAATTGTACGCACTCTAGGATTAGAATCCATATGATCTATGTGCGAGGATAAATTATGTCCAGTAAATCCATTTCCAATATCACCGAATATTCTCCTGTGTCTGCTAAACACATCCTCGTCACTGCGTGGCCAATGGCTATGGTGCCCATTTCGGCTTTCCGTAACAAATGGGCGTCGATCAAACCAAGGATCATTGTCAAATGTCTCCATTATATATCGTGGAGTCATAAAGATCGGTCCACCATCGAGCTTCATCTTATTAAACTCTTGTTGTCTTCTATGTAACCTTCTACGTTGCTCGTATAAATCTGAATGGTTCATAATTTCTACTGCATTTTCCTTTTATATAACCCAGCCTACTTGACCAAGCAAACAATGACCTTGTTTACTCCTATTACTCATCGCGAATTTTCCTCTAATGGCTCTAACTGGGTCAGTCCATAACCTCACACCTACGGGAAATCTCTCGAAGTTGCTTGAAAAGTCATCGTAAACACCTAATCACGTGATAGCATTATGACGTGGTAACGCTATATTTAGTGATTGGGATGTACTCTCGCGTGCTACTGACTATAATAGGAAAACGTAGGTATGAGTAGTGTCCAAGTAGTTTTAGGTATTAAACAAGATGACAAGTATTGGTGACTAATTTACATGCACAAATTACTATATGAATTCAATATTTGGCAATATTTAAACCTTGAATAGAAATCGTGTTTATTTCCAATTTCTCATTTTAATGTGTTATTTGTGTGTGTGTTAATATATAGATCTTGCGTGTACCCTGCAACAAATTATAAAATGTTTAGTTCATACTTCAATTACAGATAAAACGCATTTATTCGGCTAACTTTTATTTATTTTGGAAAATTAGATTAAAGGAACGTCCTATTTTTCTGCAGTAATGGGGTAATGAAGACGGGCATGTGGTCATGGATACAATGTGCTATTTTAGAAATTTGCAAAGACAGTGGCGCTACGGTGTACACTTTTTTTTGGAATGGCTCTGTTAAGTGTACGCCATTGTGTAAATGAAATGAAATGGGGTTTAACGTCCAACTGTTCTGGGCCCTGTTTCACAAAAACTTAAATCACCTTAAAATCGTCTTAAACTAAAATTCCATCCTAACTTAAGATAGATGCGTTTCACAAAACGATTTTAAGCATTTTAGATAAAATCCACTAAAATAATATTGTAAGTTAAAATTGTATCTTAACTTAAAATAGTGGCGTTTCACAAAACTATTTTAGGGACAATTTTAACTAAATCAATTTTAACTTAGGACAGCCGTCACCCTCTCCTAACTTAAAATCACGACATTAACAAACATTGACTACTACTAGAGCTACGTTGTGGGATCTATTGCGACATATAGATATATTTGGAATAATGATAATATTGCCAATGGCCCGGGTTATATAATTTAAACATACTATCATTCACAAAAATAATTTTCATTCAATTTCTTTTCATTGCATGGGAAATATATCTGCGGCCCACCCGTTTATTTTATTGTAAGGCAATATAAGCAATTAGATGACGCCCAAAATTAAAACCCCAAGAACAAAAACCCCTCAAAACCCCAGTAAACAAAACTCTTTGTTACTATTTTATATATTAACATATAACATATTAACATATTATGGGTTTACGTCCACTAGACACAAACTAGGTCAGTTTGGGACTAACCACATTTTTCAATTTTATTTCAATAATTCACTTGCGCGTAGAGATCTTTAGTAGTGGGAGGCAACCGGAGGACCCGACGAAAACCCACGAGGTTGGACGGGCGACCCTACTCTCTGTCACGTACAACCTCAGAATCGAAACCCCGTCAGTCCTATAATACTAGATACGCCATATGCAAAGTATTTATGGTTTTGGGGTTATGATGATTTATATAGGAGCGAAGGGTATTTTATATTGGGAAAAAATCATTTTAATTTAGTAAGATAGATAGGCATTATCCAATAAGGAGTGTGGCACTTTGGCATTTTCAAATTATCATTGAAAGGATCCATGGGACTGACATTTCAAATCTAGGCATCGGAACATTGGTTATTTCGTTTTTTAGTTTAAAAGTTATTAAATACTTTTAAATATCGACAATACTTTAGTCCAGATTAATAATTGTTTGAGTCAGAAATGTCACGTTTGTGACAATTTCTCAATAGTTTCTGTTAACCAAAATACCATAAAACTACGAAATTCAAGCGATTTAATATATCGATATGCATTATTTCTATTGAAGCCTGCGGGTAAATCATATGCTAAGGTCACGAAAGTGACATGCAAGTTCAAGGCCAACCTACTAATTCATTTCAAAACGAATAAACACGCAATTAACTTATTTATTTCATCTCTCTACGACTGTCTGACCATGTGCAGACATTGTTACAACGTATGAAACCCTCCTCAGTATTGTGACGGTTAGTTCAACCTGGTAACAGTTTTCAGTTCCGAAGCGTGTATGCGTTCACGCTAAGTGCCCTCGCCGGAATTGTGCACTGCGCGAGCGCAAGCAATTTTAACTAAAATCTATTAAAATTGCATTTTAAGTTACAATCGATCTTCGTGAAACGCATAAAATTTAAACTTTCAGTTTGATTTTAGTTAAAATCGATTTTAGTGATTTTAGTTTAAGTTTTTGTGAAACAGGGCCCTGCTTCTAAACTGGGCTAATGAAGACGGGCATACGCCATATCGTGTGCTATGAGGGAAATTTTGCCCGGGCAGCGGCGATATCGCCTACTCTTATATGGAATTCCAACTGCCAAGGGATCTTTTACGTGCATTCCAATGTATACACGGGACCTCGGTTTTTCGTCTCATCCGAAGGACTAGACAGCTGTCCTCGTCAGGCCTTCCGTCCTGCATCACTGACAAACGCCATTGTGTAAACAGTTTTTGCCCCATCTCAATGGCTAGACCCTGTTCTGTAGAAACCACGCTTAGTTTCTTCTTCTTAATCGTACATGACCTGGCAAGGAAAAGTGTATAGTCGTTCGAATGGTATGTAAAAGCTCCCATGAGAAAGCGAAAAAAGTAGGCCGTAACGCCGTTAAAGGACAATATTGGTGCCAGTCATTATCACATATGTGATAGAGCTGGTTAAACACATTCCAAATATAATTTTAACACAGAGATAATTGCTACGATAGCTGAGTAATACAGGTTTCCTGAATCGGAAGTGACGAACGCCAAAGGAAAACACGAGTCATCTCTCTATATAACTGACTGATGTGACGAGCGAGAACAGATACACGGTCGAATTTCTGCTCACTAATAATTCCTTCGAAGATCAAAAGTTGTGTGAGATTGTGAGAGGATATTTGACAATTCATAAAAAGAATTGACTGCCACTAGATAAGTGAACACGAAAGAAAAACAGAAAAGGTCCGTGCATTACCATGTTTTTATAAGGTATAGAATGAATATAAACAAGGGAATGTACGGACTATTTCTATTTTTCTCGTGTTCTCTTATCTAATGACATTCAATTACTTTATTGAATTGTCAGATAACCTCTTACAGTGATCATTATTTATTTAACACCGGAACACGCATGCACCTCATATCATTGCCAATATAAAAAAAAATCAGAGACATTCCATATAGCTCCTGATTTGCTGACTCAGCTTCTCAAAAAATGGTTATTAAAATAAATCAAGGCTAAATCTTGGTTGTCAGTAGGCCTACTGTTTCTACGATAATGAATGATCTATACGCTATATCTTCGCTCAGAATAAACTAATTTGAATGTTATCCATTTTTGAACTATTATAGCGAGAACTGTGAGTTGAGGATGTTTTAAATTGAATGTAGTCCACAAGCTAAATTGAAAACCTTTCTTTGATTTATGACGAACTTGCAGGATTTGTTGATGACTTGAAATGAAATGAAATGAAATGAAATGAAATGGGGTTTAACGTCCTACTGTTCTGCTCCTAACCTGGGCTAATGAAGACGGGCATACGCCATACAGTGTGCTATGAGGGAAATTTTGCCCGGGCAGCGGCACTATCGCCTACTCTTAAATCGAATTCCAACTGCCAAGGGATCTTTTACGTGCATTCCAATGAATACACGGGACCTCAGTTTTTCGTCTCATCCGAATGACTAGACAACTGTCCTTGTCAGGCCCTCCGTCCTGCATCACTGACAAGGGGAAACCACGCCGGAAAATCTGGATGAACTTTCTCGGCCAATGCAGGGATCGAACACCCGACCTCCAGGCTAGCGAGCCAGCGTCTTACCCACTTAGCCACGTGATCCCCTTGATGTTGACTAATTAAAGAAAGAAATGTACGGGTTATTTTTTGTTTTTGCTAGAGCGGTAAAGAAATCTATAATTTTAGGCAATGTGCACTACTTTATATGAATAGGTTATGCACTGTTCGGTTAATAATAAAACACCACAGAAAAATAAGATTGAAGTCTATTGATTAAAATACCTGAACTTATTAAACAACAGTGCTTCAATTAACATATTTTCTGTTATACACGCATACATAACATGACCACATTCTATAAAGATGACGAAATGTGTCTCCTATATAGATATTATAAAGGTAACCTAATATTAAACTGTCGGTTATGTACCGTATGCCAATCAAAAGCAAAAATGTAAATAAAAGGAGTTCCCTGGCAACAGCGTTTCCGCTAAACTGTCAAGGGTTCTTTTACGTGCGCGCCAAAGAGTACCAGGAATGACCTCTCAATACATGCTTTACGTCCCACCCGAACGACTATAGCTCAACACTTTATCTGTTAGCGCCGAAGGCACTACCACTCTACGTAGTGGGAACCGAGCTGGGCTTGAAAATTATGACGACAGCTTTAAAGGAGCTAAACCTCTTTGATCTAAACTTGTTTTCTTAGCAAGAGTATTAACGCCTCTTTACGTTTAATCGTTGTCTATTTCAACATGCATATTCGTAAATTTTAGTATCATTAGAGTTGAGTGAATTGTTTTTGAACGTTTCAAGTAAACAGTCATATGTACATCAATTGAGAGTTTTAAAAGGAATCTTAAAACCCATCTTTTTAGAAACGTTTTCTTTTAACTGTTGATCGCGTACTCCTAGGAGTTAACTATTGTTTTTCTTTTAACTCACCATAATGTTACCAAAGAGCAGCTTCGGTTGGATTTTAGGACATTATTATTATTATTGTATAGACTTTGAATAAGATTCGTGTAGAATTCGCATATACGTGATATAATCAAACTGGATTGAAACACGATCACGTCTTCATTTTTTTCCCTTAACACCATATTTTATTATCTAATAAACCATTCTTCGAACGCTGTTGACTGAATACTTCATATTTATTAATATTTAACTTCAGCTAGGGTACAGTTTGAATAGTTTGACATTATACCCATACCGAAACAATGACCATACAATATTATTTAATCAGTTGTTGTTTTTTTATTGTCTGTCATATTTTATTTTACTATGTAGTAATATATAATTATATTTAGAAAATGACCCCATAATCAAATGAGTAAGACAATGTCTGATGTTTAGTCATCCTCAAAACACAGGGGTCAATTGAACTCCCTCAAATATTTAGTAGGCTTCACACACGGGTGATTTCCTTAGGCAATTAGTAAGCCATTTTTAATTGCCCCCACATTGCTTGAAAAAATCATATTCCTGAAGCAATGGCCCGAGAAATCCCTCTCTGGCCATTGATGGATTGACTTCTGATACTTGAGCTTTTGAGGGAGTGTGTCTATTCTTCCCCTTCAATCAAATCTCTCCTTAGTACAGCAACATGGCAGCCCTTCGTTTAATCTGGGGTCTTCCCTAAAACTTTGGACAGTGATTGAAGGTACATGTATTAAAAACGGTGAAAGTATTGTTGATCTCCAAACAGTATTGTTAACATTGTAGTCATTTTTGATAGCCTCGTTTGACAGGTAATTAGTTTTTCTGCAATATTCTGCTATGCATTGGTTAACTGGGCGTAATACATTTGGTGAGTTGTGACGTTATATAAACATATTTAGGTCTAATCAAACGAAACACTGCGGGGAGTATGGAAAAAATGGACCTTTGCGTGTCACAGCGATGGAAGCACCTATCAACTATTTTTGATATTTGGCATTGCAACAAGGATGGTTTGTCTCTCTGAAATTATACATCAATCGCTGTGTATTCGGCAGCAAGCAATCACTGAGGTCCCGTGTACACATTGGCTTGCAGGTAAAAGATCCACTGGCAGTTGGAAATCGATAGAAGAATAGCGCCGCTGTCCGGGCAAAATTTCCCTCGTAGCAAACTCTTTGGCTTATGTCCGTCTTCATTAGCCCAATAGGAGAATAATAAAAACCATTTCATTTACGATCTGTCATAGAAATCCCTAAATACTCATCACCTGCAGATTGCTCACACATGCCTCGATTTCGATGGCATCACTGGTTGCCTAATAATTGCTCATTGTTGTGCACGTGACAGAGTATGCTACCCCCTTCCAGAAAGCACAAGTCAATTATCAATGTATTCCATTTGGCGGGCTAATTAAAGGGCCAATCCCGATAATATTTTGGAGAATTAAACTGCTTAATTTTGTGTTAAAATCCCTTAAAATTCTCTAGCTTTGGGCCGAGCAACTAACTCAACATATGTGATACGTTTTCAAACAACTTAAACCCCTAAGTCTTTATCTGGAAATGGAGACTGGTGTCCCAAACTGTATTATACTGTGTCTGGATAAAACCAGACTTATATTTTATAAAAATAATGTGTAGGTGAAATTTATCTTTCGTTATCAAGTACAGCACATGGGTCATTCATTGTAGAGACCTCTAAAGGAACGGGGGTCAATTATCAGGTCACTCAACGAAAAAATTGACCCAAAATCTTAAAAGGGTTACGTGTCCGGATAAGGAATTTTGATGTTCACGTCCAAACAACTCAATAATTTGAGCTGGAATTTTAAGACAAGGTAAATACACCATTCCTCTATATTTTGGCGCTTACATTTCATACATACTCAGACTTTTATTTTTGAGACTCGGTTCAAATCGGGATAGTCCCTCTAAGTTTTAAGTACATGTAGGTTCACTATTGGTCTTTTAAGCTGCATAACGTAAGATTTAGATAAAGAGCTGACCGGTCTTGCTATACCAGTTCAGAAATAGATAATGCAAAATGATTATATTGAAAATTTCATTCACATCACTTTATTCTATATATAGATAGGCTTGTCATGTGAATAAATGTCTAAATAATAGGTTATATTATTATAACAAAAAAAGACCTGTAATAGGCCGAATCAGCTCTTACATAATGCATCTTTAATATTGTGGTTAAAATTGACTGTCAAAATAAGATATGAAGTTCATGACCTGCAGATTACTAAAGACATTCTAGTAACTTGTGACACCACAGTTCCTCAATCTCTAATTTGTAAATGGACACAAAGCAGTCCAATTCTTCGCATAGATTTTTACCAGCAGACTCCCAGGTAACTTTCTTTACTGCCCAGTATGTTTTAGCAACTTAGGATAGTGTATATTAATAATAATAAAAAAAATAAAATAATTCAAAACATTTTTCACATATTATTTACTTTATATAATTTTTTTGTTTGTTTAGTTGTCTCTATTCATTTACACTTTCATATCACACATTCAACTATATACTTATAATGATTATATTATAATCTTATCACATTTTATATTTATCTTCATATTATTAACAACAATTATACCATGCTTCATCCTACTTTCACTTTAACACTGAAAGGAGTAACTATATTAAGGAATGGAACCGCTTTGATTTAAGTCAAAAATATTGTTGAATTAGCTTGATCTGACATGTTATTTACATTAATGTTAGAACAAGCTCCATATAATTAATTTTACATTTTTGAAATATTAAGTAAACGTCGGTTTACTTACTAATTTTAGTTTCACTTTTCGTGTTACATTGTGGTCTGTTGAACACAAAATCAGTTAAATCTCAACACAGAGAATGTGTAAACACAAAAACCAAAGATGAATGTTGGAATAAGTTGATGATTTTTCTTGTGTTCACATAATAATATGAAGATGTAGAATTAATTAATCAATTCACACTAACTATATATGTACACAATGGTCTAAGTTAAAGATTAAATCTATAGAAAGGATTGGTGTAATAAGTAATTTAAAGTACATGTAGACATGGAAATAATACCAAAAGTCCTAATGGCTTTTTGTGCATGGATAAAAAACAAGATTTTGTCTAAAGAAATTTGGACTGGGTTGAGTACTGGGGCCTGTTTCACGAAATTTTAACTAAAGATAAAATCCAAATTTTAGTAGATACTTCAATTATGATTGGCTAAGCACTAAAATCAATCTAATATTATCCAATCAAATTACTAAAATTTGGATTTTATCTTAGTTAAAATTTTGTGAAACAGACCCCTGAATATTAACACCATTTCTTTAAAATCGGCTACATAAAAACGAGTTTAACAAGGGAAAGTTCTTATCGAGCCATTTTTTTTTTTTACTAGACAATTAAATAAGAACAGTGCCTTTAAATCTGAATAGACATTTTAAGAATTATGCCAAGTGCATTTACATTATTCTAATCTTTGTCAAACTGAAGAGTTCTTAAATCCAGTTATTTTGGTTGTTGTTATCTTTTCTAAATAGGATAAATATGAAAAGATCAATATAATTCATTGAATCCTCTGCACTGGTCATTTCCACAAATCAGTCGGAGTAGAACAGTAGGACGTTTAACACCATTTCATTTCATTTCCAGAAATATTTTACTGATTTAACTTTAACAATAATATAGTTCTATAGTCTTTTCAATTTGTTTCTAAATTGTTTAGTATTAACCCTATTATTACCGGGCCATTGGATAGATTTTCTATGGGTCCCGGTAACTTCATAATCAGCCTTATATACTTTGATATCAACAATCAAACCACACATACAATAATCTTAAACACACAAGTTTGAAGTTTTAGGAGAATACTATACAATTTATGGAGTTTAACAGAATTTTGTGATAATAAAATAATAATCTAACATATTTAACAAATGAAACACAAGCAAGCACATAACACTGAATAAAAATATACATGTATAATCTTTTAACACATCAACAAGGCTAGCATTGAAATCGTGCTGTATTTACATTAAACACGAGATTCTATATTAAAAATAACACATGTTATTTTAACACTCTAATTTGCCAGTAGACAATGTAACTTTTAAAGTTATTCACGCATTATTTTCACCATACAATACGTGTCACAATATACAGCACTGTAACCCAGGCATCGTTTGATCTTGCATATTTAGCCCTAATTTCTTTCACATTCTTTCAATAATAAATCTTTATTTGAAAATTTGTAAAAATCGTCTAAAATGACCCAAAATCATCTTATTTGTACTTGTGTCCAGTTTAAAGCTAACCGTTTAATTTTGATAACAAGTGTCCAATTTACAGACATTTAATTTCACGACCACTGTTCAAAAATTAATTACTATACATCAATAATCAATTGGGTTGTTAATTTTTTATCAAAATTAAACGGTCGGCTATAAACGAAACATAAGTAAAAATTGGAAAATTTCAAGTCATTTTAGACGATTAAGAATTTAAAATACAGATTTGTTGTTAAATGAAAGTGAATGAAATCTGGGCTAAATATGCAAGATTAAACGATACTTGGGTTACAGTGCTATATATTGTGATAAATATTCCTGGATAAATCTATCCTGAATAATCAATACAGAAATGTTTGTATTTTAATGTACCAGTAAAGCAAGATGAATTTTGATTCAAAATTATATTGTGCCAGTACTTACATTAAAGCCAGAATTCTGTAGTTACTGTAAATATAGCAGGTTCTAAATACTGCCCTTTTCTCTCTTTTACATTACATAAAGTTACAAATGTTCTACACCTACACTGAACATTTTCTAGTTTTTCTAGTATGCAGTGTTGTGAGCGTAGCGGGCAATAATTTTGCCAAATTTGTTCCCATAGATTATAACCGAGCTAGAAAGCCAAAACTCATTATGCTTGCATATACCAACTTACACGTACAACTGTACATAAATACAAAACTTTACCAAAATGTTACATTTCAAAATATAGCCTAGTGCACAGTGATAACATAGAATCCAACGTCTCTATTACAAGCAGAAATAACTAAATTTTGAAACAAAACACTGGACACTAGACACTACTGTTTCTCATAAACAACTATATTAATAATTTTGTTCCATGCATTAATATCCAGCTCATCCTATCATTTTGAGAACGTTCTTCCATAATTCAACAAGCATATATTCATTACCTATAACAACTGATTAAATTAAAGGAAAATTTGCTGAACATTTTAATTTGTGTTTTTAAAGACTATAATATAGCTTGAATACACTAGCGGTTAACGTCTATAGTTTATGAAGTACCAGAGATTAACATTACACAACACCTCAACAAGATTTACTGTGGCAGATTTAAGAAAAAATTTCCTTAAAGTCCAGTGGTCCATAAATCTACAGGACTGAAAGTAACCATCACAAGTTAATGTTTGAAAAAAAAAAAAATGCCATGATGCGATCAAAAATCGCACTTTGTGGCAGGCCTCAATTCTAAATAAAATTGCAATCAAGTCTTTATCATGTCTTCACATATAGATATATACAACTACTAGTGGCTGGTGTGTCTTCATCCAACAGATGGAATGTCAATTCCTAGATTATGAGCAACAGTAACTTGTACTTGTGCTGCATTTAACAAGGAATGAAGATGGGCCATTTCTCCTTCAGATCGAGATAAACTAATGGCTGTATTAAATGACTCTAAAGCATTCACCATGTTTCCCCTGAAATGGACAAAAATAATCAAATTAGGACAGGCATTTTGCAGGTTTCTGTTTCAAACTTTTACCTGTTGGAAATGAAGTTGTCAATCAAAGTTGGTGTATAATCACTCTGTAATTGGTTTGATCAGTAGTTAACTTTATTAATCCTGACTATTATTAAAGATAATGGAGATTAGTAATAGTTATATTCTCAGTACAGTCAGAATTTAGATCTACAGCCAGACTTTCACCAATTCAGACATGTATGGAGGAAACAGAATCACTGGAACCTAGCTATAGATATTCTGTGCTTGGAGGGCAGAGTAACCTAATGTTATACTTTTGCATGGATGGCAAACATTGTTAGCGTTTCCAATGGATGAAGAAAAGACCAACTCTCTCATTCATATTATGTGTGAAGACAACTTTATTGTGACATCATAGCAGTAACACATGACAGGAAGTGGCTGCACTTGATTAGTGAATGCAAGCTCTGTGTTGTACTTAATTAACAAGTTAAAGTTACTCATACAAAATAAAACACCTAACTTGTGTTCCTTAGATCCTAAGGTTCATATTCAGTATGTTGGTTGCACAGACAATTTTCAAGGTTTTGGAGATTAACATTAGTGAGAATCTTTAACAATGTGGTTTATAAATAAATTAATGAGATTTTGTCAATCTAATGTTCTTTTATTATCTGAACTGAAAAAGTATTGATCCAACCTCAATAATAACTGTAGAGAATAAGACAATATAGTGTTTACCTCTGAACATCAATAGTGCCAAGTACTTCATAAGCATATTCACATTTAGGATCTACTTGTATGGCTTTCTTAACTAACTTACAGCCTTCTTCTAACTGGGATTTCCATTGTACTAATAATAATCTACAAATACAGTATTATATAAAACTAATCAGTGACATCCACACATTAAAAATAATTATAACAAATTACTGTATTATTCTGAGACATTGGTGACTGTACTTTTGATCTAAGTAAATCAGTAATAGTATTTTCATTCTGAGTGAATCAGTGATTATATTTTTTGATTTAAGTAAATCAGTGATTGTATTTTCGCTTTAAGTAAATCAGTGATTGTAGTTTGCTTTAAGTAAATCAGTAATTACATTTTTTGCTTTAAGTAAATTAATAATTGTGTTTTCGTTAATATGATAGGTTTGTTGTACAATTCAAGAAATGCAATTAAGTGCTCAAGTCCCTCAAAACAACTATCAATACTTAGAAACTAATTGGGACAACTTTCATTTTCCTGATGAAAAGCAGAAAATAAGATTTAATGACAGACTGGTCTAGCATGTGATAACAGTAATAACAACTTAATAAATACTTGATTAACAAGTTTTACTACTTAATAATTACAACCAGTACATAAAACACACTGCTTTATCATAGTAAAACTTGATACATAACATTACTATAAAACATGCTACACCATAATACTGTTTCAAACTATTACAATGGTTCATTCCTGGTAATCTGTCTTACTGTAAATAACAACTGGATACATAATTTGTTTATTTCATCACAGTGATAATTAGTAGTAAAAACTAGGATGGTTTATCTTAATGTCTCATCAACTGCAAAACGTTTGAGACTAAGGAGGAATATGTCTGTTGTTGAATATTGTGGATTTAAAATCTCATTCTTACCCCTTATGAACATAAATATTTGGATTATCTGGTTCTAATTCAGCTGCTTTATTAAAATATTTAAAACCATCTTCAAATTTACCTTGATCTGCTAAGGACTGAAATAAAGGAAAATTTTACTTAGCCTAAAACCAGCTTGGATTATCATATTTTTGACACACAATATCTGTGAGATTCAATCTTAACACTCATTTTTGACAAACGATGTCCTCTCAAATATATATATATTTAGTTTGTATACAAAACTTTTTGATCAATACATGGCCAGAAACTGTTTTAAAATGGACATATCGGTCTACAAAAGGAGTGTAGTCCTGTATACATTTCAGCTATCTATAAAAGATTTATGGTACTTTTTGTCTTTGAAGTTGGCCCCAAGTCTACAAATTCAATGCTGCACAAATGAATGGACAAACATATATACATATACACCGTATATATATGCTGCAGTTTGGTGGAAAGTTTTTTTGTCTCGTTATCAAGTCTCCCATACAATTCAAGAATGAAATTTCTTAGATAACTTGTGTAACCCCTAGAAGTGAAGCAGCAATCTTTTCAATATTTGGATTGAAAATATCAAGCAATGTAAGTAGGCTATTTGGGCACACTTGTCACCCGATCTACAATCTTAAACCTACTTTTAATTATAGCGTTATATGTAATTTGTGATAGCCATTTACCATAATAGTTGAACTTCTAAAAGACCACACATTATTCCAGCGTATATGTCGCATAAACATAATTTCTTGTGACATTCTTTTAAAAGCTAGTTTATTTTATTTACATTACCTGAGCATACATTAAAAAGCCATCAGAATAATTAGGGAATTTCTGAATAACTTCCGCAAATAATTTAGTGGCTTCATCTAATGCAGAAGGTTTTTGATAAACAATACCGGTTTTATGCACTGAAAAGAAAAACAATCAATGGATTACCTCTTTGCCGGCCAAATATCATTTCATAAATTATGTTATTTATACAATAAATACCCAGTAGAGGTCCTAACATTTCCAGTAACGTTGGGGGAGGAGGATATAAGGACGGGGAGTCTCCCCAGAAAATTAAGAACACAATCAAGTAATAATTAAAATGAGTTTGATTTTGTGGGTTATCATTGTGAATATTCAATAAAATATCTCACTGAAATGGACACCAGGCTAATCAAACTCTATAATGGATTCCATATAAAGCTTGTGACAGTGCTTAGAAAGGTGTGTCATTTGGCTTATGGAGCTTGGATGTAGTTAGCTTTAAATGAAAAGTACATTCCTAATCTGGCACTGCCACTGAGTGTCTACAAACTTCTAAGTTCATTTCATCCAGACTAAAGAAAAATAATCAAAATTATAAAACTAACCTGCATGAGCTCTTTGAACATATGAAGTAGGAAAAGATGGATTTAATTTAATACTTTGATCAAAATCATTTAGTGCTTGCTCAAATTTATCGACCAATAAATATTGCTAGGAAAAACAAAAACAAATGAAAATTTTATACATCAAATTTAAAATAAATTTGGGAGAAATTGAGTATATAAAGTTATAAAGAAATCCCACAACTTAGATGCAGGATTTAAATCATGGATTTTGGAGATTCTTTTGTACAATACAGACTATGTGGACTGATAAAGTACAAGCTAATGAAAATACCAAGGCAGTCTGATTGCACAAAATAGTTATATTCCATTATATGTGTGATCATCTATATTCCATTCTCTGTTAATACATTTGGTTATATTGAATTATCTATGAAATGAAAATTTTTATAGCAAGATACACATTTCCTTTGTATAAATAGAGAATCAACAGAAAACCTGCCAGAAATGTCTTATATAAGTAGAAAATTATCCAAACTTACATGAGCTCTATGGTGGTAAATATCAGAATTCTGTGAATCTACTTGGATAGCTTGGTCAAAATTTTCAAAAGCTTCTTTGACTTTATCTTTTTGAAGTAAAATACTACTCTGTTTAATAATTGCATTCACTTTTATCTGCAAAATAATAAAATAAATAAACTTTAAATATATTCCTCAGTCATCACAGATAAGATGCAGATGATGATACAATAAATAGACAGAACTCGAGTGAACAATTGAATAACCCGAGCGGTATTCAATGGTCATTGAGTTCTGTTTTTATTCTATAACTACATGCAAATCTCAAAATACACTGTACTATCTAGATTATCATAAAAAATCATTACTACTAACGTTAAAATTCATCATAGGTTCCACCCATTTTTCTTTCTTTTTTACAAAAATTGTGGTTGCCTAGTTGTGACGTCATTACAGTTTGACGTAGTTCTGTAGTTCTGTGAGTGACGTAATTCTGGACAAAAGTAGTACGTTTTCAAGCCACTGAATACAACTATAGGTTATTCAATGGCCATTGAATACAACTATAGGTTATTCAATGGCTGTATTCAATGGCCGTATTCAATAATATTTGCTTGTATTTGCAGGTAGTTATAGAATAAAGATCAAATATTAGGCTATATAGAAAAAATATTCTGGTTTTCAGATCATCTTGTGTTACTTAGGGTTTTTCCTCATTGATTATCACAAGTAAATATTTTACCACTGCTACATAAAAACTCTCAAATGAATTCAGAAATGTTCCGCATGATCGTTTATCAAGTATGCAGCCCTGATAGATGTTATTTATAATAATAATAAATGATATTGTTTGGATGATCATACATTCCTATAATTATAAATAACAAGAGATAAATGTAGTGCCTTCAAATATGATGTGTACGAGAAGTTATCTAGCCCAGTAGTCATCCTTTGACAAAATAAAAACACAAAACCTCCCTCCCGCATCAAAATTTTGGTGAGGGTTGTCTGAGAAACAGAATAATTATGGACTCCAAAAATATAGGTTGTCTGGAAATAAAAGGGAGATAACCCCTTTTTTTTCTCTAGCCCAAGTTTCAAATTACATGTACATTGCCCGCTTTTATTACTCAATTATCTTGAGAAACATATATACTTTTTGGATGGACCATGACAAAACATCAAAGCAACATCTTTTAGTTGCATAAGGAAAAATAAATTGTAGAAATTCAAAACAGGAGCGGACTCAAAAATTGATCTGTTGACAGGATAAACAATAAAGGAATCATTTACCTTTTTATCTACATCTGTGGATGATGCCAGTGTTTCAAAATCAGCTTGTGCTTGATCTAATTGTCCACACATCAAATAAAATGTTCCTCTTAGTAACAAGGCCATGTTTAAATTTTTACTATTGGTTAATCCGATTTCTTCACTACATAAAGACATAATCTGATCATATTCTTCTTGTTTTAAATTCTCAATGGCTCGTGCAAATGGACTGCAAAAAGAAATGAGTGATGTATGTAATAACTTTAAACTTGTAAACTTTTATAAAAAAAAAGGTAGTTGAACTTGGGGTCTGCTTGCGCTATAAACAATCCATTAAACATAAAGTACAAATCTGTACAATTTTAAGGCTCTCTGTACTGTACAAATGAAACGATATCATGGACGACAAAATAAAGCCGATTCACGAATCACCGATTGACACTGTCATTGAACATTGTTAATAGCCAACTGCCGTGAACCTTCGATGATATTTTTGCCGTTTTCACATATTTTTTTTTTTTTAGATAAAAATGAGTTAAATATGTGTTTCTGAGGAATTTGAATACAAAATGTGAACGTTGGGATTTCTGCGTAAAATTGCCAGCTCTATTTTTATTTTGGATATATCACACAATGTGGGATCTGATATTAAACTCAACTAAGTCAATTTATTTGGGCTAGACTTTAGAATCTGTCTAAAACTTGTAGTACCTCTAAATAAATTCTGATATCACTCCTTTATTTCTTACCTGGGTTCAGTTACTCCATTAGTTAAACCAGTGTGATTGGGTGTATTGGCATTATTCAGATCTTCTGTTGTTGCTTCTCCTGTTTTACCATCATTCAAATCTGTCTTCAATTTCATAGCACTAATAGGATCAGCCGAAAAACCACTAAAATAATTCTTGATGAAAAACTTGGATGGTAAACTAGGCTTTTTATTCTGAAATTTTAAAAAGACAGCTAGATTAAGTCAATCCAAAATGCTACTTGACATTTGTTTAATTTATAAAGGAAACATATTCCCAACCTTCACATCTTTGAATATGATTTGAAGATAAAGTGATCTGAAGTTGTGTGTTTGTAAAAATATTTTTTCGTTGCCAATTGTATTTATACACCTACGGCCAGATTATATGGAGTTAGAGCTATGATTTATACAGCATAATTAATGACAAAAATTATGTGAGAAATGCAAAACAATGGAGAAATGAATAAAACTAAGATGGTGATCTAAAAGGCTTCACACTTTTTTCTAAACTAATGACCTGTTAACTCAATATGCTACAATTCAAACTTGATCCTATAGAGTTGTTTTAGCAGGTCAACCATGAATGAATTGATTTCATTTAAATTTAAAAATTAATTACAAATTGAGTACATGTATATTCTAATTTTAGTGAAATAAACTAAGAATTCAAAATCACATTTTTCCTTTAACTGTGATGAATTTGAATATGCTTTTTTTAGATGTGTTGTGACTTACTTTAAAAGATTCTTTAGCACAACTTCTACCTAGATCTTTGAGAACCTGATCAGCTAACTGTAGATTAGTCTGATTACTGAAACCTTCTAATATACATGCTGTTGTTATATCTACAAAATATCACAAATTTATTCAAATATGTCAGCATGTAGAAATTAAAAATAACAAATATCACAAGATATTACTTATTTCAAGGTGCAAAATTAAGACAAATTCACATTTTATTCCATATTATAAACCTGAATACAACCTATTCAGTGAAATAAAGTGAAAAGAAATTTTGTTCAGAAATATGGGCTTTTCTGTTAATTAACAAATTACGGGCTTCACCCACGCATTCTGCAACTTATACTAATTAAATATGCCTATTACCTTCTAGAGAATCTCGTAGTTTTCCAACTTGTTGATAAGCTTTGGCGCGTCGTGATAAAGCTTTAGTATACCTCTGATTCAACTCTATAGCTTTTGTACAGTCCTGTATCACACCATCGTAATTAGACTGAAATAGAACAAATGTTGGTTTGACAAACAGCTGATTAAAAATCAATCGACTACATATTGATAATTACTAAATTAGTGGAAGAAATGGCAAATCTTGTAAGACACATTCACGAAATGAACAGTAAAACAACCCAAACATGATATAGCCACAGTGCCAACAGGGCACACAATATTTTTAAATGAACTATTGTTTCACAACCTTTGCATAATCTTTTGTTAGTACTCACCATATATTCCATTGCAGCTGCCCTATTTTGATAAAATGTTGATAAATCAGTAACTTGGTCTGAAGGACAAAGATTGATGGCTTCTGTATAACAGTTAACAGCTTGAGAATATTTACCTCCCTTGAAATATTTATTACCCTTTCCTTTAGCAGCTTGAGCTTTTTCCAGTGGTGTCTAAAATACAATACCAGTACTTAATTAATTGAATAAGTTTTTAACAAACTACAGAATAGAATCTGATTAATGTTCCTAATATACAAAGCAAAATAATAACTAAGGTTTATATACTATTTAGCAAAATATTGATTATCACTCACTATTGGGTGGCAACAAATGTTTTTTCATTCATGATCTGCACCAGTCTACAGAAATAGGTATCAAAAAATTAAAAATATCTTTTACCTGCTTACAGTACACAACAGTACACATATCTAATAGTTAGCAAAACGTCTGCAGAAATAAGTATCATAAAAAAAAAGTTACAAAACTAATGGTAAGTTATCATTTTCTATAAATAAGTGTGAAAACTACTGTCTGTTGAGCCATCTACTCTTTAAATCGTAACAACACATTTATAAACCCTTACCACTAAACTTGATATCATCTCTGGTAGCTTAAAATCAATATCACAACAAAATATTCACATAAATAAACAATTTATTTCTTGTACATAACATCCATTATTTTCTTCTTAAGTTCATCTAAGTTAATGTAAACAACCCAGTGATCACACTCATAGATGAAACCAATCTGATTTTTAGTAGGGGTATTGAAAGATATTTAAAAAATTAACAGAATCTAATTTCGCTGCTAGATATGCTCACTGATAGCTACATTATTCTCAATCAACAGATTATGAGTCTATGACATCTTTCAGTGTGGACAGTTGATAAATTTACATTTTGTAGGTCCCTATCAAATCTTTCTGCAAATTTGATTTTCTTTCAGTAAAAATATCATGGCAATGGAAATGGAATACATCTGTGTCAAGCCTGATGCCATATGCACTTACAACTGCCTGCGGTCACAGGAATGTTTAGGTTTTGAAATTAAAAGTAAAGAAGACCCTTTCAGAGCAAAAAACCTACAAATAAACTTTCAGAATCTTCCACTTCAAACCCAATTTCAGAAGGGCTTTGATGAGTAGGCCATAAAAATACATGTAGGGACTACTGTAGTAGAGATGACCAGTTATTAATGCACAACATAATCGATATTTTTTTTGCACCAGGCCTTCTTATAAATGCAAGATATCTAAATTCTAATCTATACCAAATCGTCTTAATCTCTATGGATCTATATCTATCCTGAATAGTGATATTCTGGAATAAGAAGTTTAATGTCGTTGATTTTAATGGATTAATATACTTTTATAGGCGTTTCTGAAAAATAAAAGTTTTCAGTAGGTTCTGTCATGAATGAATATGAAAGATTCATTAACATATATTTCTAGCATTTGGTTACCCAAACTCAGGCATTCCCTTGACAGTATGTTTTTGTCATAAAGGTACCAAATACAATGTCAATTTATGATTTCTGAAAGAATTAATGGTATGTGCTAGAGTTGGGCGATATACCGGTTTTTCGGTATATCGTGATAAAATCAAAGATTTTATCATATCGGACTTCTTTAAAAAATATTGAAAAAACGGTATATCATAACCAAAATTATCGCGATATGATAATTATCATGTCCCAATATTGATAATATGCTACATCATACGAAGTCGAAATTATAATACGAGAGGTCAAGTTTGGACAGTAACGTATTTCTCAGGGTATAAGTCGATACTTTTTCCGCAGCCGAAGTTGGACCTTCGTTTTATAGTCTGCATCGCCTTATATATCGATGAAGGTAATTTTTTTTCTGTAACTGTCGCCCTACGAAGTACAATGTGGAGTGACATTGTTTGCTAAATATCAAAATAAGAGCACTCTCACTGGTTATAGTAAGTTATTCCAATACAAATACTTTTCGGAGTATTTAAATATATACAGTTTGTTTAACTTTTTTTAAAAAATATAACCAACATTCAATAAAGGCTAGAAAATGTCATTAAGGTAGAATCTTTCTGCTGACAAGAAACATATCTCGATCTCTCGTAATCTTTATGCTGACAAGAAACATATCTCGATCTCTCGTAATCTCTTGCAAGAATTCTACTTTGGTTTTATTCTATTATTAGTAACACTGTGTGATCGCCAGTCACGTGCGAATAGAAACCGTGTATTGCAGTGATGGGATTTTACTCAAATCTTTTTTTCGAAACGCCCAAAATTGTCCGAGCGGGAATATGCTCAATCGGACATCAAGACATGGTGAATAATATTCAAATTCCAAAATTAATATAGTGTACTGAGTGTATAACTACCGTGCAACCCAATTATCGTTGAGAATAGGCTGGAGTGATTAGGTAATTAAGTGATCGACTATTTATCGTCTACACACCTACCTTGATTAACTACTTATTCTGCTTTGATTGGCTGACTTAATTCTTTATCGGACAATTCGTCAAATCAATCCTGAACAGAAGTCATTGCTTCTCATTTGTCGGACGATATATCAATCCAATAAGAGTGATTATAAACTTAATCTGATTAACCCGTGATTTCTCCATTGTCTCACGTTTTAATCTCCTTTGTGTCGGACAAAAACAAGTAGAAATTAGTCATATATGTCACATATCCTGATAACATATAACACCTCAAATCAACATACATTGTATCCGATAACTTGTCTGTCATATATTTTTGGTGGCAGCCGAAGTTAAATAAAGATATTTCACACACACACATATGGCGCTTATATAGTTCAGTAATTAAAATGAAAGTACAAATCTCGCGAGACATGTGAAATTAAGAGATGTATACGTGTCGAATGCAATACGCCTGATATCCGAGAAAAGATTCTATTTTGATGGCATATTGTCAGATTTATGATCATATTTTGAATGGGGTTTATGTCTTTAAATAAATAAATAAACACGCTAAGAAATGTTGACGAATATTTCGATTGGAATGACGTAAGTAGTTAATTGTTTTAGACGAAAGCGCATGCTACAGTCGAATGCAATTATTTAGCAGTTGGTGTCACTCGCTCGTTGTATTAGAGCGTCGTTAACTACGGTTTACGGCCAAATAAATTTCGGGATGTCATTTTTTTACCTTCCGTATATAAATCGAAACGGAGTATCAGACGAATGTCGGACTTTGCTGAAAAATGTACCGATGTATGACCCGAAAAATACGGTAATTTTGGCTGAGTTTGAAACAGATCGGCAGCAGTCGGCACGCTGCCATTCTATAGTATTACGATGTCTTGTAATTTTGTAGGAATATTATTGACATAAATTTGAATACCGTATGGGTTTTAAACATGAAATATTACGAGGTGCACCTATTTTAATTTACATATGAATTTGAATATATTTTGTTGACACGTGATTCTTAATTGTGTCTGCTTAAATTACAATAAGAGTTATGCCCCTTTATTTTCGGGAAAAAATGTCTGACAAGAAATTTTTTGAAATCCCATCACTGGTGTATTGTCTTGTATTTTCGGAGATATTGGAATAATATAAAGGTTCAAATGAATCAAGAACAAAACTTACAATAATACTCAAGTTAGTCCTACATTTAGCAGCAAATTATTTTACATTAATTGATTTTGTTTACAAACATCTGCACAGTATCAGACTAGGATAATAACACTACTGTAACTCAATAAATTAAAAGATTACTGCCCGAAATGAATGGAAAAACATTTGCCTTACACTACACCACTTCAACTTATCTATGGACGGAGGTCGGAAAAACAGTAAAATATGACAATTCGAATTATTTCAATTATATCCAGTTATGTTTACGTATTATCATCATTAATATTTTACTTCGACTAATGCATGACATTCTATTGATAGGATTAAATTCATCTGTAAAAATAGTGTTATATACTAGCTAGTCTAAGATAACTCTCCATCACCAACGTTAGCAACAAAAATATGGCATCAAGCGACAATTCTAGGACCAAGTATTCAAAATTTGACTTCTTAAGACACATGTATAAATTATCACAATATCATCTTTTATTGTGATATTTGATAAATTATTATCATAATATTTTTTTTTCATTATCGCCCAACCCTACTGTGTGAACCTTGCTATTTTATAAACGGATTTCTTCGATTATGAACAGGGGATCACGTGGCTAAGTGGGTAAGATGCTAGCTCGCTAGCCTGGAGGTCGGGTGTTCGATCCCTGCATTGGCCGAGAAAGTTCATCCCGATTTTCCGGCGTGGTTCTCCCTTGTCAGTGATGCAGGACGGAGGGGCTGACAAGAAAAGCTGTCTAGTCGTTCGGATGGTACGAAAAACTGAGGTCCCGTGCACACATTGGCGTGCATGTAAAAGATCCCTTGGCAGTTGGAATTCGATATAAGAGTAGGCCGTAGTGCCGCTGTCCGGGCAAAATTTCCCTCATAGCACACTGTATCAATGGCGTATGCCCGTCTTCATTAGCCCAGGTTAGGAGCAGAACAGTAGGACGTTAAACTCCATTTCATTTCATTTCATTTCGATTATGAACAAACTATTTAACTTTGGTTATTATAAACTTACCTGTGTGTTTGAAATGAACTCCGGTTAAATAAAATCCATTGCACAATTAAATATCCCAACGAATAAAAAAGTTCTCTCTTGAAAAATTTGACGTGTTTACTAATATTTTCTTCTGAGTCGAAGACAACATGGCTTTCGTCATGTGTTGGACGAAACCATTACAGTTGTTGTGGGGGTGTTTAGTTTTGACAGCAAGTTTCACAACCACGTGTTGCTATGAAAACAAACCGCGATCGTTTCGATCGTTTGAGTTTGGGCGACGAAAATTTTTAACTAAAGGCAATTACATAGAAGAATTATATTGAAACCATTAATGGCCAGTCTACCACATTTCATACACAATGAAAATATCAATGATTGCACGGATACTCGTAAAAATAAAGTCGTATTTAAACTAAACCTTTCCTATTTTCTTTATACATGTATTATAAATAATTTAAGAAACAACATGAAGCTCACGACCAAAGTTTCCGAGTGCATCGTTAACTTAATATCATTCTTTCGAGGAAACGATGACAGTTTCAGCAACATATACAAGCGTGTTGCAGCAGCCCCGAAGGTGCCAATTCTGTGGGTGTATAATGCAAAAAAAAAACTATAATGAAATAATTAAAACAAAATTATATTATTTCAAAAGAAAATGTATAAACTTTGCAGGGATTTTACTAGAATGTCAAAATATGGTAATAAAATAAAGAGATATGGGCCGAACCCCCAAACTCAATACCAAGCTGAGGCTAATACCGGGAATTGTCGTAAATGCACCGTAAAACGCTTCGATGTATCATGCTGTCACCCCTTTATACGAAATGATATCTCCCGAAGAGTGACGTAACCGACTTCCATTTTTGTATTGCCCGATGTCAAAAGTTTGTTTGAGTTCAATTTTTCAAGAGAGAACTTTTTTATTCGTTGGGATATTTAATTGTGCAATGGATTTTATTTAACCGGAGTTCCTTTCAAACACACAGGTAAGTTTATAATAACCAAAGTTAAATAGTTTGTTCATAATCGAAGAAATCCGTTTATAAAATAGCAAGGTTCACACAGTAGTATGTGCCACCATTGCCTGCCGACAAAATTGAAATTTATCTGTGATCTTTGAGTGTTATTGAGAATATGTTAATCGCATGTAGTATTAAGTCTACAATATTTTAAAAAAAAATGCTCAAAATTAGATTGGTGATCACTGGCCATTGTTAAGAATAGTTTATGATTTCTGAAAGAATTATTTATAAGTATGTTTCAGCATTGCCTGTCGACAAAATTGAAATTTATCTGTGATATTTGACTATTATTGATGGTGGTTTATTTTTGTTTTTTTGTTTTTTTTAATGTTCATATCCATATCAATTGATAACTGTTGTATTTGTTTTTCATTCTATTTGTTTTTGTTATAAAGGGCACAAGGTGTCAGAAAGGTCCATACCTAGGGACCTAGATTGTTCACCCTTTCGAAATAAAGGTAAAGGTATTATTAAGCTTTCATATTACATATGAAAGCTTATTGTTTCTGTTAAGATTATTATTGTTATTTTTTTTTTGTGTTTTGTCCACAAATCGGATTTCTCAGAATCTAACCATAGGATCGTTCTGAAACTTTTACCTATCCCCCCAAAAATGGGTGGTGGCTGTTGATTAAATATATTTTCAAAACGTTTTACGAATCCGAAATCACCGAATTTTACGAAGGAATGCATTTGACCTACAATGCTGTAACTTTGTGACTATTTGACCTATTTTACTAATTCTTTTTTCTTTGAGTATCTTGAAACATTTACTTCAAATCTGCAATTTCGGATTTTGGCATTTCGAAAATTCGTCGCTGTCATTTCGAACCGGAAGTTATTACCAATTTGACAACTTCTTTAATAGTTGTGCGATTTTCGTGAAATTTAGAATGTTAGTAGATCTTGCCAATGCGACTTCAATGATGTCCTTGGAAATTTTCTAAATTATCTCCCCTTGGTGAAATTAAGGATCAAAGTTTTCAAAAAAATCGTCAAAATATAGGTCAGAATGACCTAAAAAAAAAATTCGATACTAGACAAGTAATTACTGATTCGTACACAAAATATAGAGTTTGTCGATCGAACCGGAAGTGCCACCATCTTTAAACGTGAAAAATCGAAAAGGCTTTTTTGCTATTTTACTTACAGACTCGGGCGTCATATTTTCGGAATCCTGGAAGGAATGCCTAAAAATCTATCGGATCAGAATTTTGATTTCGGTCACGTGATGGTCACCATTTTGAATTGAAAATGAAAAATAGAAGCAATTTGAAGGGCCGGGACTTTGGAACACAAGAACTCTCCTTCTAATTAAGCTAGAATGTTCAAACTTGGTGTAGGGGTTCACTAGGTCAATATCATGATTGAGTTCAAAGATGAGCATTTTTTGCCTAGGGTAAGCAGAGATAAGCAAGCTGATTTGTTGATTCTTTAGGGCACGATGACATTGGTTATAATGAATGGAGGGCGATGAAACTCTTGTCAATCGAGAGGCTAATAGCTGACCTGTTGTGTGAAATCATTGTATCATTTTTTGAAAATGTCCGGGGTAGCCGAAAAAAGGAGATCGAAATCCAAAAAGTCGTATTTTTACGATTTGGGGCATTTTTAGAGGTCGTGTAAAGTAAAATAAAGCATGCATATACATATATTATTGATATTAAATATATCATATAAAAAACTAAACAATGAATCAGCTGTCATTGACAGAATTTATATTATAAGCATGGTCAGTGGAAGGTCAGCGTATTGTCTAACTTGAACTCACTGACTCCGTAACATTATTGTGGGTATGGTATAAGCTGAATTTGATGAGATGCACATATCTCGTATGACTATTTGGTACTTACAGTGTTAGACTTTGTCGTAACGTTACGGTCTCCATTCATCAAATCGTCGTTGGGGCTATAATACGATTTTGAATCAAGTTATTTATCACTGAGGGACTCAAAATTAGGTTTGATGTAGCTCTGCTCATTTACAGTGGCGAATTTAACGGGCTCATGGGTTCCAGCTCCCTCCTCTAGAAATTTCACAGCACCCGCATGGATTGTGGCTAATTTTGTGGCAGAATTTTATTTTTCTGGGGGAGGTATTTCTAAATGGCTCCGACACAAGTGCCTGAAATGCCATGAAATCACGTTTTCGGCCTCCAATTAAAATTTCTTAGCGGGAGAACCCCCTGACCCGACCCCCTTGCGGGGCTTCACGGTCGGTATCAGCCCCCCTCCCCACCACCATGGTTAATCCGGCGTTGATGTTCTCTCTTGTGCAGCTGCAAAAGAATGTACAAGTTCATTGCCTCATTGTCAAAGATCCCACTTTTCTACCCCAGTTCGGGTAATGAGGTCGAGCGTATATTGTATAGGGGATATTAAACAAGCAAACAGTATGGCTGATGTCTCCCGCCAAAACCCCAAAGTAAAAGATGACACATTAATTAATCGCACTTTCATATTTTTTTCAAAAGTATCGAGCAATCAAACTATACTGTAAATTTCATCACTCTCTGTCAGATAGAAATCAAGGTTATCTTGTCCCAAAGCATCGACCAATGAAATTGCCAAGCTGTAGCTCAAAATGTTCAGTCAAGACCTGATGAACTTTAAATTTATACACAGTGTTTAAGGTCATGAGATGAAGAAGCCAATTGGTTTTCAGCGATTTCCGATAATTACTGTCAGAGTTATGGCCCTTCATCACTTAAAAAAAATCTTGTGGATGCTCTAGAGGCCAAAGTTAATGTCCGATTGGCTTTAAATTTATACACAGTGGTTAAGGTCATGAGACGAAGTAGGCGATTGATTTTCAGCGATATCTGATATTTACTGCCAGAGATGTGGCCCCTGATCACTTCAAAATATCTTGTGGACGCTCTAGAGACCAAAGTTAATATCCGATTGACTTTAAATTTATGCGCAGTGTTTAAGGTCATGACACGAAGATGCCTACAATATTGATTTTCAGCGATATCTGATATTTACTGCCATTTCCGATAATTACCGTCAGAGTTATTGCCCTTGATCACTTTAAAAAATCTTGTGGACGCTCTAGAGGCTAAATTCAATATCCGATTGACTTTATATTTATACAGTGTTTAAGGTAAGAAGCCAATTGATTTTCAGCGATTTCCGATTGAATCCTTTGAAAATCACACCTAACTCTAAAACTAAAGGCAAGAAACGGGCCGGTTTACATTGAAGCACAAGTAATTCCTATCCTGCGTACTCTGTATATAATATATGGTTTTCTAAATATGCCTTGGATGGTAGCCACAAGTCGACAATTTTTGTTTTGTATTTTTCCCATTTTGTTCATAAGGTAAATGTAATATTTCAGATACCTGATGACATTTATACTTATTGTTTCAATAGATTCTAATAACCCCCTTTGCAGTTAATATGAAAGCTTTCATATCTGCTATGCAGATCTAGTTATTATTATTATTATTATTATTTACATAACCGGTATAACTCGGTCTATCTTTATGATCATGAACAAGAGAACCTTTTATTTAAGGGCATATTCTTTTGGGAGATCGATTTAAACCAATCGGAGATAACACAAAGTTTAGTGGTAAGGGTTTAAGAATGGTTCATTATACAATTTTGGAGTAAATCGAATCTCTGGTTTAAAAAATAATTGGCTTAGACTGCAGTAGAGTAGCCTACCGGTCGGTAGACTGAGTAACTAACCTCTGCCGGTTTGCCCTTAACAGTACCAACAGAAGAAGGTGCCTGGTCGGAATCGACATCTTCCTCCTGTCCCGATTTTGCCTTATTGCGTTTGTAGAACCAAACACCAGCAAGTCCTAGAGCGACCGGGGCACCGACATACAAGGCTATGTCCCATTTTGTCCACCCTTCCGTCCACTCCTGCAAAGTCAGTTTCACTTTAGTCGCCATACTGATTTCAAGCTCACGTGCTCTAACGAGAATAGACGAGATCAAAATTTTGGATTCCTTTCCACAACGAATCGAAATGTGTGATTTGTCAGCGATTAATAATGTAAAAATCAGGCTACCGATTCGTTTCCGAAGTGGTTTATGCCATCACAGCCATAGGTTGGAAAATATAAGTGAAGATGTAACAATATAATCCAGTGACAAAGGTTGTACGGAAGACCAATAGGGCCAATCAATTGAAAACCATTTTTCTGATTATCTCGCAACCCCCTGCAAAAAGTTTCGCCCCACCCCAACCCCTTAGTTACTCTGAGCCATTTACGACCTGTGCCTCATAATTATCTCGTAATTATAATCAGATTAGATTTTTTCACAGAAATTTAAAAATTGGGACGGTTCAAATCAGACCGAACCTCATGTTGGTTGTGAAATATATTTAGTTGGGCTAAATAAATCATCGAATCTTATGTACATTGTACTACTAATCCATTGGCCGGTTGAAATGATATAAAGAGATTTTATAGTAATTTATATAATGGTTTACTTACAAGGTTTATTGACCATTTATTTCAGACGCATTATGCAAGAGCTAAATCTTCTTATTGCAAGTCTTTATTTTGGCTTCAAATGTTATATAAATTATGTCAGACATTTATTCACATGACAAGCCTATAATCCATTCTCTAGATATCGGATGGACGTGATTTACATGGATTAGAACAGCCGCGAGATTTAAAAACATAACGATAAAATCGATAATCAACACTAAGTCGCGATTGTCAAGTACCGTTGCTACGATAATAAACAATCTACGCTACATCTTAAACAGCCACAACTTCGCCCAGAATAAAGTAATTTGAGTGAAATTTTCGATATATACCTTTTTTATTATCCATTTTTGAACTGAATGTATTATAGCAAGAATGACCAGCTCTTTATCTAAATCTTACATAATGCATCTTTAATAGGGGTTTGTTTATTGTTGGAATTCATGTTTTAGGGGACAAGCACCTTTATACATATCTACGCTTTTATTGTTTTGTTAGTAGGTGCCGATAGTCATAATTCTATATATAAAAACCAGCGGCTGCCAGGCAGGATACGCCCACATTTTCGAGAGATGGATAGAGAACAAGCTAAAAAGAAAGTGATTTTTTCTCAATCAAGTGCCATAATTCAGAAAATTACAATTCGATAAACGCAAATTTCGAAAGGAACCGAGATCTTTGCGTTATAAACTTACATTTCAAGTACAATCAGGGGCCATAATTCAGGAAGTTACGATCCGATATGCGCGAATATCGAAAGGAACCGAGATCTTTGGGTTATAAACTTACATTTCAAGTTTCAACAAAATCGGATAAAAATTGTGACCTCTATAGGGTCCACAACCTTGATATACCATATTTTTACGCTATTTGAGAACGAAGGGCGGCCATTTTGTCTGTCAGTTTTGGCCCGATTTTCGCCAAATTCGAACTCAGCCGTCCTTAGGGTGTAACGGTGACATAATAATACGTTTTTTTTAAATCGGATAAAAATTATGACCTCTAGAATAGAGTCCACAAGCTAAAAACGCGATTTTTCGTACAATCAGGGGCCATATTTCAGGAAGTTACGTTCCGATATGCGCAAATATCGAAAGGAACCGAGATCTTTGGGTTATAAACTTACATTTCAAGTTTCAACAAAAATTGTGACCTCTAAGGGTCCACAACCTTGATATACCATATTTTTACGCTGTTTGAGAACGAAGGGCGGCCATTTTGTCTGTCAGTTTTGGGACGATTTTCACGAAATTCGAACTCATCCGTCCTTAGGGTGTAACGGTGACATAATAATACGTTTTTTTAAATCGGATAAAAATTGTGACCCTTATAGAGTCCACAAGCTAAAAACGCGATTTTTTGCACAATCAGGGGCCATAATATTCAGGAAGTTACAGTCCGATATACGCGAATATCGAAAGGAACCGAGGTCTTTGGGTTATAAACTTACATTTCAAGTTTCAACAAAATCGGATAAAAATTGTGACCTCTATAGGGTCCACAAGCTATAACGTGATTTTTCGTACAAACAGGGGAAAAACTCCATGAAGTTTCGAGCCGATACATGCCAATATCGAAAGCAGCCGAGATCTTTTGGGGATAAACCTATATTTCAAGTTTCGTCAAAATCGGATAAGAATTGTGACCTGTAGAGAGTCCACAAACAATAAGGACGGACGGACGGACGTCCGGACGTCCAGACATACGGACGTCCGGATGGACAGGGGCGACGACAATATACGTCCACATGAAAATGTGGGCGTATAAAAACGTATACTGAATAACATCTTGTATATTGGTCTATTTTTACAAAAATTACCATAACGGAAAAGACATGTGATATTAAATGTTCACATCAAACAAAATATTGCCCATGAGCACGCAAGTACCTTCTTTGGTGGGCCAATATTTTGACAAAGTTATTATTCAAAATAAAATCAGTATATCAAATTGTCCATTCCGTTACATGCCCAACTGTTCATTCCCAACTTTGAGCTTGAAAATCTCCCTTTAAAATTGAAAGGTCAGTCAAAATTACAGAGCTTTTCACTTAATTCTTTTGTTAAAGAGTTAAGCAGACGCCACATTATCCAGTTCTTCACTAGTTGTCACTATTAAATCAAAGACAGAGTTATGGTCAAGCAGGAAACCCCCACATAATAGAAGGAAAAAGTTAATAGAAACGAAAATCCAAATAATTAAGTTGAAAATACATGGTTTTCTTGCAAATTGTATGTCTTTTCTGATGGGGGGATCACGGTGGCTAAGTGGGTAAGACGCTGGTTCGCTAGCCTGGAGGTCGGGTGTTCGGTCCCTGCATTGGTCGAGAAAGTTCATCCAGATTTTCAGGCGTGGTTCTCCCTTTTCCGTGATGCAGGACAAGGACAGCTGTCTAGTCGTTCAGATGGGACGAAAAACCGAGGTCCAGTGTACACATTGGCGTGCACGTAAATGATCCCTTAACAGTTGGAATTCGATATAAGAGTAGGCCGTAGTGCCGCTGTCCGGGCAAAATTTCCCCCATAGCGCACTGTATGGCGTATGCCCGTCTTCATTAGCCCAGTTCGGAGCAAAACAGTAAGACGTTAAACCCCATTTCATTTCATTTCTATTCTGATTGCAGGTTCCAAATCATAAAACACTGATTGGTGAAGAGGTTTTCACCCAGAAAACTATAGTATAGAGGGAATAAGGTTGTCAAAGCTATGCAGACAGTCAAAGTATGTCTTTGTCGTTATAAATAATGTTAAGACTTCTTGTCTCGGGATAGACAAAACAAAAGGTCTTTTGTTAAAATTATATTGGTAATCACTTTTTTATTGTTTCTGGCATGACAATATTAATAATACCATGACAAAACACCAATGTTGTAATGGTCGTTCGGATGTAAGATAGTAATTAATCAACCGAGAAATTAATTAAGAAGAGGGGATTTTAAAAAAAAAAATTTTCACCCATTTTTGCCACATTCGAAACACGCGTGCGTCTAATTTGCAAACACTATCCTATAGTTATAGTTTATATGAAAAAGTAAACAAATAACAGTGAATAGATTCCATTTAAAACACAGTATTATCATCCATTTTTGCCATATTCGAAACACGTGTAGTTCTAATTTGTAATTGTAAACATATGCAAAAGTAAAGAAATAACAGCGAATATGTAAGAAAGGCCTTTGTCCTAATTTTTCTAGCTGTTTAAATTATAGAAGTTATTTGTATAGTTATTATATCTCGGGCTTAATTTCTGTTTCATGCAACTAATTACTGTAAACACAACAGGGGCCCCACTTCCACTCGTGGAAACGTCAACTTTTGATTTCTAATTTATAGTCTGTATCAAAGTTGTACACATACGCTAACGCCCTCTTGTGTAATAATGTTGATAATTCATTATATTTTTCTGGACATTTTCAATTCAAGATTTTAACTAGAAAATATTTTCATAAGAGTTCAAATTCCAGATTTTTTCTGTCGTGTAAAATTTAGAAATTATTTTTTAATTTTAATATTTAATGATATATAAAAGTTACCGATAAAACGCCGAAAATGAAACATAAAGTCCATTTTTTGTTTAAAATGTTGATTTTGTGCATGAAATGTTGACAAAAGAATTTAGAAACAAGAATCATTAGTTTAAAATGTTTCGTTCATGTCTAAAATATTCAAACTGGAATGTAGAAACAAGAATCGTGAATATTGTCCCCTTTGTTCTTCCATAGTAAAAACGCATACCAAACAATAAAAATAACCATTTTATTAATTTACGCAACCCATGAATTATTCAGTGTAACGATATTGCAGTTTAAATAATGTTAGTTTAGCATTTGTAAGCCACAGACGAGATTGTCCCATAATACAGTTTTACTATTTTCAAACACATATAGAAGCCTTCCGGTAATATAAAATGATCCGACCGTTTTATTTACTTTGTGCTTTTGCTGCGATGTCATACTTTGCCACCGTTATTTTTCCTGACCACTCCCCTACAACCAATTTGTCATCTTTTGTCAAACACACCGCAACTGGTTCATCTAGACCATCATGATGGGTGAGAAGGAATTTTATAAAAATTCCATCGGGTGACAGGAGAGAAATCCTATGATTATCACTGTCCGCTATTAGGACGTTCCCAACTCGATCAGCGCAGACACCACATGGGTGATGAAGTTGCCTCGTACTTTTACCTTCCGAGCCATAACTAGACTTGAAATTACCCCGAGAATCAAAAAATACAATGCAATGACGTTCGAAATCCGAAACAATGATGTCTCCGTTAATGTTGACGCATACACAGCGAGGATTAGCAAATAATTTTTTACCATCCAGAGATTTTAGTGTCATTTTCATTCTTCCCTTTCGATCGTAGAGGCAAACCTTTCCTTTTCCAGGATGACAAACGACAAGGTCGCCATGGTCGGCCTCGGCCATGCCCCAGGCAGCTACAGAAATGTTTAAGTTTGAGGGAAATGGTTCTCCGTCCGTGTAGAACAATCTTAAACCCATATTCTCAGTTCCATCACCAGCGTCAGCTACAAGAAGTTTCCCCGAAACTAAGGATGTTACAGATATCGGATGAATAAGGCCTTTGTAGATATCACGCATTAGCTTTCCTTCTAGGGTATATATGCTACATCTTTTGGAAGAGTAGGTCGTTACTGCAATCGTGTCATCTACAGTGGTTGCTAATCCGGTTACCGATTCATCTGTTTTAAATCTAGCCAAAATAATGGCGTACGATTTTGATTTCCGCCTGGTGGGAACTGTCTTTGTTGTCTTAGTATCTCTAACGTGAAAGCTAACCCCCTTCTTGCCATTTCTGGAATGAGGACCTCCATGGGGATGCATCATTATTGATCTATGGTTATCTTTAACAGCAAGACTTTTAGCAGCATGATTTCCGTCAGTAGAAACGTTAACTTTCAGGTGTTCCTCTCCGCTAGGTATCATTAGATGAAGAGCAGCATTGCCTTGGTTGGTATGTTGCTTTGTTATGGACATCCCTGAAAATTTGACTTCACTGGCACACGCAGCAACATTTTCCATGAATTCGGTTGTCGTCGCCATGTGTTTTTCTGTGGCAACCAGATCAGACAGGTGTTGTTTGATAGAAATTTCTTCTTCCTCACGTTTCTGGGTCATTTCTCGAATAAGTTTGTCTTTCTGGTCCTCAATATTCCTGTGTAACGTTTCCGCCTGCTTACTTATCAACGTTTCGGTACTTTCACACGCTTCCTTTAGAGTATCTAGATATTTATTAGAATCTTTTGTAAGGGAATCCAAACTGCTTCTATAATTTGCTAGTGAGAAACGAAGCATATCTAAAGATGGTCTGAAGCTGGTGTCTACACCCGAAACCCCTTTAGTCCCAATGCCGTTATTTTCATCAAATGTAAAATGACGCGAAGGTCCCCTGGTTGATGCACTGTTAGGGGGTGCTGATGGTAACTCAGAGATTCCACCAGCGGGGATGAGAACCATAGTTTTACAGGTTGGACAACAAAATTCATTATCTTCGCTTGTAGAATCGAAGTTATTTTCCAAACACGATTTGCAAAATCTATCTGAACACGGAAGAATTTTAGGTTCTTTATAAAGTTCATTACAAATTTGGCATATGGGAGATATGGGTTCCTCCTCATCGATTGGTGATAATGGTGCTTCCATATTCTAAGAGGACTGGCTTCCTGAAATATTTCATTATAAAAATTGTTAGATCTTTTATATTGTTGAATGTTGTATAAAATTAAGGGCGCATTTTGCCCCGCAATGTTTTTATGTGTAACTACTTATTTCGTTTGGAATTGACATTGGGGTCACTTTAGGCCACTAATCAAGGTTCAGTCCAAGAATATAATATAGGCTATGATTAAAATACGGACAAAGAGGAATAAATATGGTGGTGGGTAACTGAAATATAGGAAGATCGATGAAAATTATAGTATAGATTTGCGAGCTACTTGTTAATTCTCGAAGGCGATATACATGTTTATTTTGTGAAGTGTCTTAAATTGTTGAATTGTGACAATTTTTAAAACTTTTTCTTGCAAAGAGTAAACATTGCCCCTTATAATGTATAAAGTCATATGTATAAAGTATGTTTGGTTCATGCCTTGCGTTGCATAATTTCGAAGACCAAATTTTTTAAATAATAATATAACACTCCCCACCCTCACCCCGTACACAGACACTCCCAAGGAAAAACAGCTTAGCTAGGTGTGGTAATTACAACAAAATATAAATTTCCGATCATGCTAAAATTGTACATACCTATATATTCTATAAAAATCTGGATTTACATTCACTCTTATGAGGTTATATACATAAATGGAGTGTACACTAGTAAGTAGAGCTGTATCACCGTTTGCCCTTCACCATATTTCAAAACAATAGATGTAAGATCACTCGAGCGTTTATTGTAATGTTTCACTACCTACCTTCTTTAACAAGTATTATAAATTGTCATTGCAGTCGAATTTGAAGGACAAATAATATACTACGTCAGTAAAAGGCAGATATTTTTTAAATGTACTTTGTGTTCTATGAAGCATACATTTATAACAATTTTAGTGCAACCATGCAATTTTGAGAGAGAACCTTGTTTTTAAGGGAATTAAAGAGACTTAGTTGATGGAAAATGCCCTCTGACGATATTGTCCAATACCCCGGGACCTCATTGACCCAGTCTTGTCATAGATGACATTATCAAACTTATCCTGATCAGACAATCGGGTGTTATTTATACTTAGAAGGAAACGTGTAGTCCTTTGGATGTAACAAAAACCGAAACCCCGTGTACACATTGGCGTGCGCGTAAAAGAACGGGGTACAATTTCCCCCTGTACAGCACACTGCATGTCGTAAGCGTGTCTTTAATAGTCCCGGTTGGTACAGAAAAGTAGGACGTTAAACCCAGGCACGTGTCCAGATGGGGGTCCGGACCTTCTCCAATTCGACAGTGGCGGCACCAGCAGTCGGTGGTAAGAGGGGGAAAGTCTAAGGTTAAGGGGGCAAAGGCGAGAACTTCAACTAGGGCTTTGGTGGGGGGGGGGGGGCTTCCCCGAAACTTTAACTAGCGGCTGCCAGGCAGGATACGCCCACATTTTGCAAGAGATGGACAGAGAACAAGCTAAAAACAAAAACGATTTTTTGTACAATCAAGGGCAATAATCAAGAAAATTATGGTCTCAAATGCGCAAATATCAAAAGGGACTGAGATCTTTGGGATATAAAGATATGTTTTAAGTTTCATCAGAATCGGATAAAAATTGTGACCTCTAGAGGGCCCACAACCTTCGTATTGCATACTTTTACACAATTTGCGTACAAAGAGCGGCCATTTTGTCGGGCAGTAATTTCGATTTTCCCGAAATTCGAATTAAACCTTCATTATGGTGGAATGGTGAAATATTTAAACGGTTTTTAAAAATGGAAAAAAAATTGTGACCTCTAGAGAGCCGCAAGCTAAAAATGCGATTTTTCGAACAATCAGGAGCCATAATTCAGGAATTTACTATCCGATATGCGCGAATATCGAAAGAAGCCAAGATCTTTGGGTTATAAACTTACATTTCAAGTTTCATCAAAATGAGAAGAAAATTGTGACCTCTAGAGGGTCCACAACATTGATATACCATATTTGTACGCTATTTGAGTATGCGGGGCGGCCATTTTGTCAGTTTTGGTCCGACTTTTACGAAATTGGAACTCAACCATCCTTAGGGTGTAACGGTGATATATTCAAAAGGAACTGAGATCTTTGGGTTATAAACTTACATTTCAAGTTTCAACAAAATCGGATATACAAATTGTGACCTCTGTAGGGTCCACAAGCTAAAAACATGATTTTTCGTACAATCAGGGGCCATAATCCACGAAGTTTCGGTCCGATACATGCCAATATCGAAAGCAACCGAGATCTTTTGGAGATAAACCTATATTTTAAGTTTCGTCAAAATCGAATAAGAATTGTTACCTATAGAGTGTCCACAAACAATTGTGGACGCACGGACAGGGGCAACAATCTACGTCCACATGAAAATGTGAGCGTATAAAAAAATTGACTGCCGGATTGACTGTCGAGATAAATAGATCTAACCAAATACCGCCTGTCGCCTGTTCATTAGTTTATCCGACCAGAGAGGCACTCGAAATGCAGTCTCGCAGTATTTCAGACACTGATCGTCGAGATAAATAGAGTTTAATTACCAGATGCCACCTGAAGACAAATCACTAGTTTATCCGACCAGAGAGGAAAGTGGCAAACGAACTGAGTTAGTGAATCAAGGTGAATGAATATTTTCACGACGATATTTTGAAACATAGATTGCCGGAAATTCAGCCTGGCAGTATTTCAGACACTGGTCGTCGAAATAAATAGAGCTGGCCAAATACCATCTGTCAAAAACCAACACCTTATCAAAACAGAAAGGGAGGTGTCAATCGAACGAGTGAGCGGATCAAAGTGAATGAATAGCCTTGCCGCGGTAAACCCAAAGAGATATATACAACACCATGTTGATAGATGACTCGTGTCTATTTTAATGGAAACTATGAAACGTTGTAACCGCTTTTGGACAGCAGTCGTTTCATCCAATTTCCAGTACTCTTTATAAGTAATAGTTGATGTAAATTTGAGTACATGTGCATCGAACTTTTTGATAATATATTACTACTATGACAGATTTCACTTTATTTAAGGAGCGTCAATACATTATCACATAAAAACTCTATTTATGGCTAATACGTCATGTTTGATCATCTTTTAATGGGCATGGTTAACATACCCTTTGTACGCCGTAATATTCATTAGATACTGCTTGTGGCTAATTCTATCTCTATTATGTTTTTACTCAACGAACCCACGGGACTGTTAATAAAATGGTAGGGTAATATATTAAACGCACGGATGTACATGAACAAAAAAACACAATTACGGCCCCCATTTTTCTTTTATTTCACCTTGAATGTTTCACCCTAGAATCAGTCCTTACCATGATGATAAACATCCCACTTTATAAATGTGTTCATTCACTCTATATACTAAACTAAATAAACAGTGTTTTTTTTACGCATAAACAAGGATGGTTATAATAAACGCTTTTCTCCTTAAAGAGACATATTCGGGTGTATAAACGGACAATTTCTGGTCCGGTTGAAAGACATAATTACGATCTCGGTAATTACTAGAGATCAACGGTTAAGTAACTCAAAATAATTACATGTAGATGTGCATGATGTGTAAATAACTACAGCTTGTCAAACAATGAAACATCAACTATATAAATTTAAAGCGAGAATTTCAAATTTTCTAAGAAAGTCAAAACATAATTATTTCTATGTCTTTTGCTCAATAGGTTATCAAATCATTATTATACGATCATGGGCATTATTTCCCACCCTTAAAAATCTATGACACAGGAAATAACACCACAATTACCTCCCCTGTTTTGCTATTGACAACATGGGGCAGCCATTTTCCAATGTTGGAATTTGAAGTTAAAAATGATATTTTTGCCAATTTCGCAGCTGGCAATAGCGAATTATAGGATTAATAGGATTATTCTTTAACAAGGTAGGACTGTTTATCGATACCATCTATTTTAAGGCTTTATTTTAATACATTTTAAAAATATAACTTGAAAATTTGCAATTGCAACTTTAAAGTCAATAGAATGACAACTTTGGCCTGTAGAGCGTAAACAAAAATATTCAAAGAGGTCTGGCATTAATTATCCGATATTGGATTGACATTAAACGCTGTGTATGAATTTAAAGTCTATCGGATGATAACTTTGGTCTGTAAAGCTTCCACAAGATTTTTCAAAATGATCAAGGGCTATAACTCTGGCATTAATTGTCGGCAATCAGTGAAAATCAAGAGGATTCTTCGTCTCATGACCTTCTACACTGTGTATAAATTTAAAGTCAATCGGATATTAACTTTAGCCTCTAGAACGTCCACAAGTAAAAGACAAATAGGGGTCACAACAATATACTACCACCATTGCTTGTAGACGCTGGACTGACAGTTGGACGGGGGTGTCAACAATAAAATTCCATTTAAAAGCGTAACATTTTAAATAAAGAACAATTGGTTCATGTTTCATAACCAGTTTTTATTCACAACTGAACTCATTTTCACACTTTCTATTTTGTTCCGAGAACAATCTGATACCAGCCACATGACAGTACCACACTTTTCATTTAGTTCTTCATTTTCAATTCACTATGCAGTCAGTCGAAATTTATGATACAAGATGTATAGGTACATAGGACTACACAAGACAAGATAACCTGTAGCTCATCGTTTAATAGGTAACACATTACACCTGTAAATATATTTATTAAATCAAGTATTCATTTATTTATTAATGCATGTATCAAATGGTATGTACTAACTGAAATAAAGGAAATGATACCGACAGTAATTACATTTCCATTACTCATTACTTTTGAAATCTTCCATTACACATTACATGGCCATGACTTCAAAACATGTAATGATTACATTCCATTACCATCACCCTAGCCCTGGATACTGTCACATGTTAATTACATATCATATAGTTTATTTCAAAAGTCTCAGAAAAAAAGAAATTTATAAGTTTGGATCTGAAATAAATTTCATCCAAATCATGTCAGATGCACATAATATGATGTGTAATATAGGGAGGATGCTATTCTCTGTAATATAGAGAATAATATAGGCAGGATGCCATTCTCTGTAATATAGAGTGTAAAATTATTCATGCAAATGTTGTATGGTTTGTGGTCTCTGCTCATGTGGCTTGTCACAAACACACCTGGAATCAATAACCTTGACCACAACCATCTCATTATCAAATGGAATACAGTATATCCCTTAAGAGTTACATACCCTAATAAACCTTTTCCTGACCATTTATCAGGTTTAACTGATAATTTAACTAATTCACCATCTCTTAACGCTGTAATGTGTAGGGGTTTCTGTTAAAATAAAACATATCGTGAGTAACAACAGAACTGAAAGTTTATATACAGCGCTACATTGCATTGTTCTTAAGGTACTTATAGTTTTGTATTTTATTGTAAACAGATGGGGTTTGTGCCAAGTATTTCTTTAATTTTATTCTTTTTTATTGCTGACGGTAGTACTGAGAACATCAATCAACAGGATCTCACTTTAATATTACAATGTTGTTGGATCTGATTTCAAACATACATTATAGTCAATTACCTTAACAGTATATATAGCAACAGACTGCTAAAGGTGACTCTGTCAGTCTTACAACTAACAGGGGGGGAGAGAGAGAGAGAGAGAGAGAGAGAGAGAGAGAGAGAGATGGGGTTTAACCTCCACTCGACACAAACTAGGTCATTTCTGGGCTAACACATGGTTCAATTTTATTTAAAAAATTCGCTTTCGAGTAGTGGTCTCTAGCAGTGGGAGGAAACCGGAGGACCCGGGGACAGGCAACCCTACTCCTTGTCACGCACAACTGGGGAATCGAAACCATGCCAGTTGACTCAATGACAGACCTTATGATAGAGCGCACACGTGCTAACCATTCGGCCATCCAACACCCCCTTACAACCTAACACAATTCAATATAAAATAATGGTGTGACACGTTTATATAATTTCCAATAATCTCGTCAATGCTGAACAAATTTTAAAATTCATTAGAAACTCAGCATAACCAAAACCCGATATTATTTTACGGTTGAATACACACCCCTTTACTATGTTGTACCACTGTACCAATACATGGTAAGCCTGTAAAATTTTCTTTCATCACCGAACCAAACTTAATAATTTCATCTCCGACTTGTATACCCTTTATATAAGCAAAAGAAAATAAAACAATCAGAAATGTTTATCATTTATTAAGCTGGAAATGACAATTTAAGTTCTATCCAACAGGTGACTTCTAAAGTGGCATCTGACATTTTTAATTTTCTTTGAGTCAGACATGTATTAATAAATAGATCATATTAAAAGTTCTTTTGTGAAAGGAATATATCCTTAAAGGCCTAATATTCAAGATTAAATGGCAACTACAGATTTTCAGTCCATAAGGTTATACGTTAAAAAGTACTTTTGACAAGAAATCTGTCCAAAAATTATAAACATTGATCAATCCTACTGTATAGCCTATAGCCATCTTAGAAAATCTGACGAAAAAACGTATTTGTATCTTTGAACATCGTGGTCACGCTGTCGTCTAAACTAGATTCTAAAAAAGGAAAATGAAGCTGTGGTGTGTAAAAATACCCTGAACCTACCCCATCAGCAGCTGGTGAACCAGGATCTAATCTGTCAACTATTAAAAATGGCTCTTGTTCTCTAATTGGTTTATTAACAGAGATTTCCATTGGTTCATTTGTATTCTGTTTTTCTCTAGCTTGCGCATGAATCTCATATAATGTCTCTTCTATTTCTTTCATTAATGCCTTATGGTCATTCTGTAGACCTGAAATATTAAAATTTGTAAAATTTCCAGCAAGATATTCGTCACTTACACAGACTGGAAATAAATTAAAAACTTTAACTATTCATGATCCTTTTATTGTCATATTAAATGATTACCTCAGGATCTTTTGATTTGGGTGAAAACAGATTATTAAATTGGATTGACCTGATTTTCAAGCTTTACAGTAGATGCAAATATTATGTTGGCATAATCTGCATCATGTCCCCTGTCCTGTGGACCCTTGATTGGACAATTTAAAGTTATTATTATTATATTAAGCGAATGTCTATCTGTTAAATAATTTTGAGCTTGCATTTGATTTAAACTAAAAGTGGTCATAGAATGAAAATATAAGCTTACATATTATATTATGTCTGGCATGTCGTACACTATAAACATCAATATCGTTCCGAGGAAAACCTTGACTATCTACCAGTGGACCATCCAATCCAACTCCTTGTTGCTGTGAAAATAAGATACAAGCTATCATTTATTCTTTTTAGGGTTCCACAGTGAGAGTCACGTCTGGCTGGAGGGGGCATGGTTGGACGAATGGTTAGGGCGTGAGTGTTGTATCATAAGGTCTGTAACCGAGTCAACTGGCGTGGTTTCGATTCTCCTGACAGTATCTAAAATTAAAAAAAAACTATCAGGCACTCCTGCATTGCCAAGATAGCCTAGCCATTTTAACTTCCAATTAATGAGTTATAGAAATGTTCATGGTTTTCAAAGTAAGCCAGTGGTAGGATTTTCAATAATTAGGTGAGACTATGGTTACTGCATGGACCTTATTAATGTCCATGTTATTGTTAATATATTACACAGAATTCATCACACTGATCAGTAGTGAATATTCGGTAGGCTGCTACAATCACTGAGAAGGATGCGACTTAATGAGTCCCAAATATTAACTTTTTTCCTCCGAAAAATTAAATTCTAAAACATTTTTTTTATGTATTAGAAAAATAAATAAAGAAGTTTGAAGTATTTGTAGGTAAAAATTATTTCCCATTTAGTGTAAATGGGTATTAAAATGGGTAAATGGCACCATTTTGCCCGAACCAGTAACGTCTTATGTAAACAATACACGCACCATTGAGTCAATGATTGACACCAGGTGATATGACGTCACATGTTGAAGGCAGTCATCTTTTACAGGGATATTAGAAGACTTTCGTAATACTCCGTGAAACAGAGTGAGAATTCATTTGGACGCTACCATAGTCCAGGGGAGACAACTCCATAATTAATTCACCTGAGGACCAAAATCTTATTACGCAAAAAAAAATGTTATTTTTTTTCCAGTTCAATTTGAACTATGTAGACATTACAGTATATCAAATTCACTTAAAGAAATGGACAAAAGTATAAATGTCATTCAGAAATATCTCCTTATTTGCTAATTATATGCATTACACGACGTAAACATTTCTATTTTGATTGGTCTTCATTAGACGCTACCATAGTCCAGGGGGGACAACTCCATAATTAATTCACTTGAGAACCAAAATCTTATTACGCAAAAAAAGTTATTTTTTTTTCCAATTCAGTTTGAAATATGTAGACATTACAGTATATCAAATTCACTCAAAGAAATGGACAAAAGTATAAATGTCATTCAGAAATCTCTCCTTATTTGCTAATTATATGTACTACACGACGTAAACATTTCTATTTTGATTGGTCATCATCGTCACCCCCCAGATTGGTAGTATTAGTAAACATGATCAGCAGGATGACGCTGAAAAAATGTCTAAATTGTCGTGACAGTTTTTCTTAAACATTCACAAATGCGCATTCTTATTACCGAATCTAAAACTTCTGTTAATTCTGCAATTTCCTTCTCTAATTCATCCCTTTTCTTCGTTAATTCTTTCATTTTCTCCATGGGGGACGCCATCTTGGTTAATTACAAATTTCATCTAAAACTATAAATACATATTTCTGAAACGAAATTTGTCAGATTCTTTAACTCAAACTGACTAATTTAGCGAAAACCCATGACTTGAAGATGTTGATGAATTTAAGATATGGGTCTGAATTCTTAGTTTTATTTCAAGGATATCATCCAGTTTGGTCTATAAAAACTTCTCTGATGCTTTTTGAAAAACAACCTCAAAAACAACTGTTAATTTGAGAAAGCCTAAAAATTGTTTTTTTTAGATGTTTCATCACTTGGTCCTGGTAACTAGGCATACATGGTTTAGCTCAGTCAAATTACTGCCGAAAACTGAGGTAGTGTGTATAGAACCATGTCCCAAGTACACAGTGAATACATTTCAGCTGTTGGAGAAGGGCTGAATTTTTTTTATTATTCATTGAGCATATAGCATTGCAATCTGAAATCCCCTTTTCACTTGTATGTCACTATTCGTAGGTTTGAGAGAATTCAATTCCAAAACATCAAATTGAGTATCCAAATTCCGGTTCTTGTTTTACTGCTTTGAGATTGTGTGTAGGTGGGACCTCATGTATGTCTTTATCCACTGATCGAACTATATATTATAAGACCAATTTTGTTTTAAACATAGACTTGACTGAGATATTTAGAAGGATGATTGTATACAGAAAGCACTGAGGACTCTGGGGTGAGCTTTGTCCTCTCAGCAGAATATATCTTCAGCAATATTCTTTTTTAGGTAGCCTACTGTAGACCTTTCCATTAATATCCAAAACTCTTAAAAAGTAAAAAATAAAATAAACACAAAAATACTATTATTTATTACTCTAAATTTGATAGATCACACTTACTAATGGCACTAAAACATTTATTTCCATAATAGATTACATTGTTGCTAATATAATTTTTAAAAATAGAAATATCCAGTTGTAGCTAAGTCTTTATATCATATCTATCATAAATAGTTTCTACAACTCATTTGGCCTTTAAATTAACAAATTAAGACCCTGGATGTGACATCATCTGGGTAACTGTCACCCACTGACCTGTGTTCTAAAGAATCTGTAATGGTTGTACCACTCCTTTAATGAACTGGTAATTTGTACAAGTGCCAGTGCATGCTATTGACTCAATGCTGCAACTTCTTCAGAATCATCTAAGTATTCCTGAACTTCCGGAGCATTTCCAAGAATCACTGCTAAAAGTTTTTCAAATGCAAGTGGATTATAACTATGGTAATAGGTATTTTTATATTCCTCCCCACGCCATGGCTGGGGTAACTGTTTCTGGAATAATTGGTTTCCGCTGTCAAACCACACAAAGTTTTTAACACCTTGTTGAGATGAGAAATCAGTGGTATTAAGTTGGAAGAAAGTAAAGTTGACGGTGGTCTGATTCATGTTAACACACTGTACACAAATAGGTTTCGGTAAATTTTGTTCATTCTGAAAAAAAAGAATAAATACCAAATTCAATGATTATATTACATGTATATGTCACATTGACAGACAAAATATTTGTCCATTTGTAATCAGTCGATCAAAGCTAGTTAGAGAAAATCAAAATATTTTGAAATAAAGAAATGTTTTTCTCCATCCATTCTCTACAAAATATTTTCATTCCCCAATCAACTTCCACTAAATGATGTCATTCATTTTCCAACTTTTACATATTTTTTTATCCCTGTACAACATCCACAAAAAGATTTCATTCCCTGTCAGAACTTCTACAAATTGTTTTCATTCTTCGACCAACTCCCATAAAATGTTTTCATTCCCCGTTCAACTTCTACAAAATGTATTCATTCATCATCCAATCGCGGAATACACAATTCAATTTTATCAGTTTTATTTATTGGTGTGGGTATGGACATGTTTTGATCATGATGATAGATGTAGTTATTTTACAATTAACCAATGAAGCTTCTATGTAAATATACTTACACCATATAATTTTCTAGCTTGTGTTACAGCGTAACCAAAACAGTTCAATAATGCCATTGCTTGGTTAGAATCATCCCTCCAGAAATTATTATTGATGAGAAATATTGTGTGCGGATGTGAATGGCTGAATTCTTTTTGAAAACCTGTAGTAATGGTAAAATATTAAGATTAACAATGTGAAATTGTTATATACAAGCGTATTTGAGGCCAATACCTGGGGATGAATAGCATGGTTTTCGGAGAATGATGTTCCACACTTTAGTAGGGCAGGGTCAATTACAAGGGATGAAAAAGGCATAGCCTAATGTAAACCCTTCCTAAATACAGCAGTACTACAAAGATTTGTATGTGAATTCCTCTAAGGAGTGGTATCAGATGTTCTACAAGGAGTAAGCCTGAACCTTGATTTCAGAAGCTGAAAGCCACTGGGGTAGAACATTACTAAAGATAGGTTGCCAGGCAACAAAACATACGCCCACAGCAGCTAAATCGTCCGAGCAGTTGACAAGGGTTGTCACATATTTATTCTTTTGTAGGTAATTAGGGGAATTTAATAGACAATTTCATACACATGACATTATAATTTTTGTTGTTTGAAGGTTCACAAGGTTCTAAAAACTAAAACAAGGGCCGTAACTCTGGAAGCAATCTACAGAAATTGTTCAAATTCGACAGGCTTTTTTCGTTTTACTAATTCAAATAATGCATATAAATTTCATACAGATCGGATGATAACTTTTGTTGTTCGAAAGTTCACAAAGTTCAACAAAGTAAATCCCGGGCCATAACTCTAGACGTAATTGACGGAAATTGCTGACCTTCAATAGGCTTGTTCGTCTTCATTTCACTAATTTAGGTGATAACTGAAACTCAATAGGCTTGTTCATTTTAAATGATACATATAAATTTCATACAGATTGGATAATAACTTTTGTCGTTTACAAGGTACAACAAAGTGAAACAAGGGCCATAACTCACGGCGTGATTAACGCAAATTGCTGAAATTCAATAGGCTTCTTCATTTCACTAATTTAAATGATGCATATCAATTTCAAACAGATCAGATGTTAACTGGTCATTAGAGCGTTCACAACATTCAACAAAGTGAAACAAGGGCCATAATTCTAGATGTAATTAACGGAAATTGCTGAAATTCAATAGGCTTCTTTGTTTTACTAATTTAAATGATGCATATAAATTTCATACAGATCGGTTGATAACTTTTGTCGTTAGAGCGTTCACAAGGTGCAAAAAAGTGAAACAAGGGCCATAACTCCAGAAGAAATGAACGGAAATTGCTGAAATTCAATAGACGTCTTCATTTCACTAATTTAAATGATGCATATCAATTTCATACAGATCGGTTGATAACTTTTGTCATTAGAGCGTTCACGAGATTCAACAAAGTGAAACAAGGGCCTAACTCTAGATGTAATATACGGATATTGCTGAAATTCAATAGGCTTCTTTGTTTTACTAATTTAAATAATGCATATAAATTTCATACAGATCGGTTGATAACTTTAGTCGTTATAGCGTTCACAAGGTGCAACAAAGTGAAACAAAGGCCATAACTCCAGAAGAAATTAACGGAAGTTATTGAAATTAAATAGACTTCTTCATCTCACTAATGCAAACAACATATATCAATTTCAAAACAATTGGTTGATAAATGTAGTCTGTAGAGTGTTCACAAGAAATTGTCGACAATGGACGGATGGACGGACGGACCGACGGCAATATACGACCACATTTCCATGTGGGCGTATAAAAATCATTCAATTCTGTTGACATTTTGATGGTTAGAGTACGCCTTGATGAACGATTTGCTAATCCTTTGCCAAATTTCGGCATGGACCATGTGGCCAAATATGTAAATAAATGTACTGTAGGCATACGTTGCTTTACAAACATTTAACACAATAAAGAGTTTATAAAGATGATTACCTGCGATATTCTGGATTCTGTAACAATTACGTTTGGGTATATTTATAAGAGGCGATAAAGGATACATGTTGAGTAATTTCTGATTGACACTTTCATCTATTTTATCTTCTCCTTCAAATGCTTTCATTGGTTGATTTGACATAAGTAGATATTTAGCATATGCTTCAAAAATCACTAATTTACCTGTTATGAAGAAACCAAATAATTAAAAGTCAACAACAGCATATTTTGAACCTTGTGGATAATAGATTAAGTAGCAGTATATCCTGTTACTGTAACATAACAAGATAGGTTGCCAGGCAACAAAACATACGCCCACAGCAGCTAAATCGTCTGAGCGGTCGACAAGAGTTGTTGTATATTTATTCTTTTGTAGGTAATTAGGGGGCATTTAATAGTCAATTTCATACAGATGACATTATATTTTTCGTCGTTTGAGGGTTCACAAGGTTCTAAAAACTAAAACAAGGGCTGCAACTCTGGAAGTAATCTACAGAAATTGTTGAAATTCGACAGACTTTTTCGTTTTACTAATTCAAATGATACATATCAATTTCATACAGATCGGATGATAACTTTTGTCGATCGAACGTTCACAAGGTTCAACAAAGTAAAACAAGGGCCATAACTCTAGAAGTAATTGACAGAAATTGCTGACATTCTTCATTTTACTAATTTAAATGATGCATATGAATTTTATATAGATTGGGTGATAACTTTTGTCGTTCAAGCGTTCACAAGATTCAACAATGTGAAACCTCTGCACACCACACTGTCTCAAATTAAACCTTTCGTTAGATTTTTTGTGATCTGACTGCAATTCTGGAGAATCAAGCATTTTGTTCACCTTAGATTAGCAGAATATTTTTTCTATAGACTATGACAAAGATGTAAGAGCTGACCGTTCTTGTTGTAACAGTTTAAAAATAGATAAGGAAAATGAATATATTGCAAAATTCGGGGTACTTACCTTGATAATAATAATGAGTACCAAGATAAGCATCTGGTATTAAACGTAGATCTGATAATATACTAGGAAATTGATTACCAGTTGACTGACATAGTCGAATTAAATTACGCATCAAAATACCACTGAAATAAAAGATATAATTTCATTCTGTAATATTTCTTACAACAAAATACAATCTTATAATCACACTATTCCAGGCAAAATGGCAAATATAGATTATCAGATGATAATGATGATACTTACATTGAACGTTTTTTGGGTATACCATATTCTCTAGTAAATTTATAACCAACATTGGCTGTGTCGATACGTTTAGGTAATGGCTCTTTAGATGGGTCCCATTTCTGTGACTGCATAATATATCTCTGTATTAATTTATCCTGAAAAATTCAATAATACGGCCATTAACATCAAACAGTGGGAGCAATTTTGTTAAAATATATTTTTAATCCTTTCCTGGTTTATGTAATTATCAGCGTCTCCATGGTTCAATACAAGATCTTTACAGCTGACCCGTCGTTTTTTTAGTTTGAATGGCACTAAATGACTGAATTCTATCTTAGTCTTAGTGGTTGTCATTTAGTTTTTAAGTTTGTTTTTGTATGTGGTGCAGTCATCCTGCACATACTAATTATCTAAATTATATATTTTACCTGATCCTGAGCTTGAAATCGACCAATAAGTGGTTTTATTGTGTCGGGAAATCCATTAAATGATAAAGATTTAGTTAAAATACAAGCTTGTTTGGAACCTAAAAAAACAAACAATAAACAATATTTATACTAACTTCCTCAAAAGATTTCTATATAATTTTACCATAAATCCTGAAAGCCCCACACAAAATGATTGTTAAATAAATTTAAATAAATAAATGTTACAAAAAATGAATACGACCATACAACAGCTGTCTCAACTGCAGCATATCCGCAAGGAAAACTTGGATGTTGAAGAAATTTGATCAGGATCTAGGATCCTTGAAGAAATATAATCTCCAGGGTTCATCAGTTCATCCTCTTATGACCCCACTGCTTCACAAGAAACTTTTTACACTGACCCATGCTTCAAATATGTATTCCAGTATGCCAACAGTGAGTAAGATCCCATTCCATTTTATTTACCTTCCATTATTCTGCCACCTCTAGTATACACATAGGCTGGCTCCTCATTATAATTTGGTAATTCTGTAATAGATGGACGAGATTTAAACTGGAGATCATCAGGAACAGGGGGTACCCATGGTGCTGGCGGTTCCTCAACATTAGGATCAACTATTTCAAGACCTGTACAAAATTAAATTCAAAAGAGTTTAACTTCAAAAGACTTCAAACAATCAAATGCATTCTCACTGACTTATGTGTAACACCCAAAAAGTGATTGACCTGAATTTGTTGACATTATGAACCATTTTGGGTTTTTTTTTGAGTAAAATTACTTTTGATTGTGTATGGCCTTACACTTTAAACCTTTATCTAACCTTTATTCTGGCATGTTGGGTTTTAATAGGTGAAGGGTATTCAATTTAAACTGATATGGGAGATTTAACATTTAACTTTTTAACATAAAGGAAACTGCCTTCAAATTGTATTCGAACTGATGAATTACATGCAAGGTCAAACAAAAATCAACCCGATAATCAAAGTACCTCCTCTAGGTATGAGATACCTTAAGACGAAAGGTGAAATATTTACTTTTTAATCCAACTAAAACATACTGCTACATGGTCATGTACTCTACTTCATCAGAAATACCAAAATGGTGGCTGTGTATTTAACACTAACAATAAAATGGAATGCATTACACAATCTGTGTTAAAAACGAGCGTACTATGGACCAGGAAATGATCATGATGTTTGAGAGCTCTCCCTCATTCAGGTACACACACTTTTAATATACAGGTATTGTTCTCTGCATATACATGTACACCTATCACTCTGTAAAGACAGTATTCGTAAAGCTTTCTTTAACAAAGGCTGACACAGTTATGACGTCATAACTTTGTTCTGAGGATGAAATTCAAAAATCTAATTCATCAAATCGATGCAGAATTGTTAAAAGAAGAATCATGACATTTTTCATGTCAATTGTCCTTGAATTGGCAGAGCCTTAGGCTTTTTCGAAGAGCATCACCCCAAGAAGAAGAAGAACAACAACAAGATGAGTAGCGGTTAGCAACCAGTTCCTGGTCCAGAAAACAGGCCACAGGATAGTAGATGACAAGTAGAAATGAAATGGGGTTTAACGTTCTACTCTGACTGGACTAATGAAGATGGGATGTACATGTAGCCAGTTTTACTCTTTTAACACAGAACAATGCCTTGCCCTTAAATCATTTTAAAAACAAAAGTGAAGGAAACACTTGAGCTAAAGTACAATACTGATCTGAGGTAAAATACCATATCTAAGATTAAAAACTTATTACCTACCACTATCCAAAACAGCCTGAGGTATGATTGGTGGTCGGTCTGGGAAACTTCCTTTATGTTTCCACACATTTTTTAACATCAGTCTTTTGTTGTGTTTTAGTAATGTGCTTGTAAACTTCATTTTTAGTTATTTGGAAATCTATGATAATAAAGTTCTGGAAATATCCCACCAAAAACTGAAATGGAAATCATTTTCAAATAGTTTGAAAGTACCATATAGTCATATACATGTAGTTTTTGTTTTTAGGTGAATAATAAAACCATAAGATAAGACTCAAGATTTTGGATGAGGACAGTACCGTATCATAAGAAAGCTAAATGATTCATTTTGGAATTGAAAATTCCTGTCAAAATTTACCCAAACTAACATAAAGAGCCCGATTTTTCTGACTGCACTGGCTAGGGAAAGAGTCAATCTGATTATTGGAGAAAGAGTCAGATAATTATCAGATTATGTTGTAACCATTTTAAACATGTAACCAACTACAGTTGACCCCAATGTTGATGTTTCTTTCTGTTGGTTTATTATGCACAATAGTCATTCAAAAGGGAAATAAAAAACAAAAATGACTATATAATTTCCCATATTATTCCGTGTTTTGAGATACATCATGTAGAGTACATGTACATTGTAAAGACTGAAATAGGCTAAAAAGTGCCAGCAAGTAATATGTTAGATGTAAGACTTTATCTTATATGCATTAAATGTTTCCTTGTCATTCAAAAATGTTAGTAATCAGCCAGTAGTCGAGAAGTACGTGTCATTTCACAAAGGTGGGGGGTGAGTGGGGGCGGTGGATGGCCGAATGGTTAGCGCATGCACGTTGTATCATAAGGTCTGCCATTGAGTCAACTGGCATGGTTTTGATTCCCCGGTTGTACCTGACAAGAAGTAGGATCACCTGTCCAACCTTGTGGGTTTTCTCTGGATCCTCCGGTTTCCTCCCACTGCTAAAGAACCCTACGCGCAAGTGAATTATTGAAATAAAAATTCAACCATGTGTTAGTTCCTAAATTACCTAGTTTGTGTGAAGTGGACGTTAAAGCCCATTTCTCTTCCTCTCATTTCACAAAGGGATCTAGCCTACACCACTTGGGATGGGTTTGCGTATTAGTCACGCTTTAACACTATTTGTGCCATGTTTTACAGATACATATGATAAGGAATACCATCTAGTCATTCAGACGGTATGAAAAAGTAACTGTACATGTTGGCGTGCACATGAAAGAATCTGTGATATTGAAAGTTGAAACTCTAAATTAGCCTGGTTGGTGTAGAACAGTAGAGACTTTTAATGCAAGTCATCCGTAAGTGCAATGTACTACGTTGTTACGGTACATGATATGTATGTATGTAGCTAGTTTCTTTCGAAACGGTGTGTGAGACGAGACGACATAGTCCGATCAGTCACCGTCCTGAATGAAACAACACTGCCAACAACTGTCAACTGCAGTGAGTAAATTCACGTGCAGACACCCGTCCCATGTGAAAAGAATACTAGAAGAAATGTATTACCTTTAAATGTTACTTTTATGTAATAATTAGGAGAAATCTCTAGACTTAATAAACTATTCAACAATTCCTGGAATAGAGAGACTCGAGAGACCGGCTCATCTATTTTATAGAAAATCGAAGAGGTTTCAAGGGCGCAGACATCTTGGATAAGGATACTTCGTTGGTGAAACCAATTATGAAAGTATTGACAAATCACAGTGCTACTTGGTCTTTTAAAACACACTGCCAACTACTATTTTATTTTAAGATTATGGTATTGTGATACTACTATGTGTTGTTTTTATTGTTTATCTATATTTCTATGCTTATGACCAGGACATGAATTTCCGTACAATAACTTCTCACTGGGTTGTTGTAAAATTTTGGAATCAATTTTAGAATAGCTAACAAAATAGTCAGAACTTATTATACCAGTGACACTGCCAATTCAAAAAGTCCCTTTTGCTAGAACTGTCCCATGGTGCCTGGCAAACAACATGTTTCCTGCATCGAAAAAGTCTCTTACCAAAGACTGAACAGTAATTCATAAAGTATCATCGAACCTAACTGTGACTGTGAGTGGGATCCAGGGATAAATAAAAATTTAAAAAATTGTGATCTGCTGGTCAGAATTGTAACAAATAATAAAAATGTACAGTAAATATTATGCAAATATTATATTAAACAGACTGTTTCAATATCCTATAACAATTTCACAGAGTTATTTGAGATATTGCAGTTTGACCATGCTGCAAGTCAAAGACATGTCTTGCTTCCAGAGTCAAAGAAGATTCATTCAAACCACAACAAAAACAAATTCGTTAGATGAAGACAGTGACCCTTTGATAAAGTACAAGTACCAATTTCCTAAGCGCAAGCCAAAGACCACTAATAATGTAGACATCAATGAACTTGTAACACAAGTGATACAAAAAGTTCATCTCATCGACAAAATGATAACTTCTATACCTAAAACCACCATTAAAAAGCAAGTTGAAATCATTCTTAACCTGGATGCCAACCCATCCATAATAGTAGAGTTTTTTTCAAAGAAACCATCATTTTTGAAAGCAGAACACCTCGGAATTTTGGTTGAAGGATTGAAAAAGTATGGATTGAAGGAAGGAGATATTTTTAAACTCTTATGCACTATTGACAATTTAGAGGAACTTAAAATGAAGAAAATTGAGACAACCTTCGATATTTTTAGGTCAGTAGGTATGGCCAATAATGATATAATCAAAACTTTTCTAAGGAATCCCAACATCGTTAGATTATCTTATAAACAGATATTAAACCGTGTTGATAGTTTAAAAGCCTTGTTTAAAACTTCAGATGTTTTAAGTCTGATCACTAGCACACCTGATATTTTATTTGACAGTATGGATGAAGTGACCAAAAAGTTTATGTATGTGCATCAAAATATGGGTGTAACTCAGAGACAAATGATGTACTCGTCTCTGTTTCAATGTAGATTACAACATGTGATCAACAGACACATGTTTTTAGAGCGTACTGGCTTTTTTACTAAGGAAATAAAGCAGAATATTGGAAGACTGAGTACCAATCCCATACTTCAAAATATTATTGACAATTCTGATGCAGATTTTGCTAAAATGTATGGTAATATGGATGTAGCAGAATATCAAGCATTTTGTAAATTACTAGCTAAAGAAAGAGCATTTGTCTCCGAAGATGAAATATGAAATATTAAAGGAGCATTGCAATATATTTCAGTGAATAAAACTGCTCAGTTGAATATAGAAGGCTCAGGGGACACTTTAATCTTGACTATCCAAAAAACACCAATACCTATTTTAAGGTCATTGGCCATTCTTTTATGTTTTGTCATTTTTAAACAAGTAATAGCATAGTATTAAAGTATCTGAAACTTTTTACATAGCTGTATTGAAATATTTAGAATATATATTAGATGCAAAAATTATAAGGTATTTTTGAAACCATAAATAACTTAATTGTCATTTCCATACAGAATCGTCTTTTGATGGGGTTGGAAGAGTACCTACATTCGTTTTAAAGATCTAGATTACTAGAATTATCTAGACAATATCATCAATAAGAAAGATTCCAAATACAAAGCTACAAAACTAGCACCCAGCGCAGAACAGATTGTCCACTTGTATCTAGCAAAGTGTTTAATGGTGGGGGTGGGGGGTCCACAAGACCCTTTGTTTCCGATAATGTAATAACGGTACTCTTGCTTCCTTGTCAAATGGTGAATGTTGCCACTGCCTCACTTCCATTCTGTTTGCAGCATTGTATAAAATTCTTGCTAGACAGTTATGAACCAGTTCCCCACAAATATTAAGGATAAGGTTGTGGGGTCCTGAAATACCCCTTGTATCCGCACAACGGTATAGCTTACAAATTTCTGTATTTAATTGACATTATTTGGAGACTAAAGGGAGACAAACTCAAAATATCACTGTGATCAGACCACAGTTTGTTTCTATATTGACTTCTATACATTCGTGATTTGCCCTAGCCTAATTAAATTTTAAAAATTGTCGTGAATTCCATGTCACAATCATCTAATTAAAATCTTAAATCAAATTGTTTAACAATGGTCCACGTGGGCTTCAGTCTCCATTTCGAATGGTTAAGTTCTATCAACAGCCAGTATTTATATTTTCTTTATTATCTGTCGAAATCCATGTACGAGTAAATGTGTTCAGTTCCTCATTCTTATTGTGCCCATCAAATGGTTGGCATTTAGAAAGGCGCTTCTTGGCAAAAATATTCTATTTAAGCATTTTGAATGTCACCCTGTTGGAATGGGAGGAGAAACCACGGTCTTGTGTACGTAAAATGGAATTCGAAATAATACTCTATGCCCACAATGCATCCGGGTAAACCAGAGCTGACAGTCAGAATTGTTTTGCTTTCCCTTTCCCCTGTGATCAGAGCCCGTTTTTGGCAAATTTCCCCAAATTGGGTCCCGCACTAGAAAGTGGCCCCGCAGTTCCCCAACTTAAAAATGTTTCAGACAATCTGGCAGCAGGGCTGCCAGGTGTGGCTATTTTCAGGTATTAATCAATTACTAATCGTGAAATAAAGCATAGTTGGCCTAAAATATGAATGAATATAGACCTAGTTAAAGTTATTCATATCCTGCAATGTATTCATATCCTATAACTTCCGTCCTCCCAAATTAGGCCCCGAATTATCTACAACCGGCCCTGTCTGACTCAATAGCCCTTCCCATATTTCGATCAATGTGTGTTTGTTGTTATTGCATATTAATGCATCGAATTAATAGTTACGAATTTAAAAACACTCATGAAATATTTATCTAAACCCAAAACCTTTTGTATGCTAAAAAGTAAAGTAAAAACTAGAATAAATTATGAGGTGAATCGTCTACTACGCGGATGATGGAATGGCTGGTGCTCGTATGGTACCTTGTCTGGTAGGCTTTGCATTTGTAAATTTTGGAACAGATTTGATGTCTAATTTTAAGCTAACAAGCCCATGTTGTGAGAAACAGCATGGTTTGCATGTATACGAACAGATTCACAGACACGTGGATGAATGGACGAATAAATTAAAGTGGATCGTCTGCCTGTCCGCCGTCTCCATCGTCACAATTTTTGGGACAATAATTATGTCTCAAGCTTGGCGTAGTTGTTAGCAGAATCATGGATGCATTGAGTGAGTTGGATGCTCAGCATTTTCTGCATAGGATAACTAGAGATAAGCACTTTCGTTGGTCGAGACATTGGTGCTAGGTCAGCATCTAACTGTTGACTTGAGTTCAGTGATGAACTTTTCCTTTTGAACACAAAAACCCCGCCTCTAATAGAAGTAGAATGTTCAGACTTGTATATTAATTTCTTATGTAATAATGAGTATCGTACTTTGTTTTACTACATCATTCATTAACGTTGATACTAGATGAATTTGAAATCATAATTAGTATTCCTTGGTGATGAAACTTGGTAAATGTATATATGGTTTCATCACATATACCTTGACTACTTAAAATTCGAGTCGTCGATGATTTATTTATTATTTTTTGTATGACAAGAAGCCCAATACAAATCGGAATAGAAAATTGCAAACATCACCTTTACTATGAACAAAGCTAAAACAAAAAGGGCAATAGCGGATTCAACAATTTATTATGTTTCTGAACATTAAATAGAACATCTCAAATATCATGCATTCTTTCACAACATAGGCATATAAAAATCGCTCATCCCTTGCTTTATGAACATTGCAGTACTTTATACAATTAATGACCAGAAACGTGTATACCAAGTACCTTCATCTTCGATTTTCTGGAGTGATAATTTGTTTCGTAGAAAATATAGTAAAGAAAATATTTGAAAATGACTATACCTCTTTGATTTGAGTAAAAATGAAACTGTTTTTTTAAACGAATTTGGTGAGTTGATTTATTTTGCTAAATGGGTATCTGTTCATCTAATTAAAATTTTATCTCCTGTGTTCACATAACACTGATTTATATGTTAGCAAAGAAAGAAACTAAATGAGTAAACAAAGCATCCTCTGCTTTGTTTTTCCAAACGAAATTAGAAACGTGCAGAGTTTGTTTCATACCTGACACCAGGTCAATCATATCTAAAATTACATGTAGTAATAAACAAAGCAACTTCCGCGTAATCTTTTGAAACGAAATTTTATATTGTAGAGCTTGTCTGATATCTGACAGAGCACATGAGAACAACTCAATTCAACACTTAATTTTTACTGAAACCAAAGGAGATTGGCCCACTTGAGTAACTAGTAATGCTTATAAGTATAAAAAAAATTAAAAAATTAAAAAATCAAATTAATTTTGAAAATAAACTGTTCATACACACCGGTAATTCAATTAAATTTTATCAATATTATTTCCGACTGTTTTTAAATTTGAAAATACGGATGGGGGTAATTTTCTATGTTTACTAGTGTACGGACGTTTTGTGTGTAGGCCTGGATTTAACAATGCACGATAGAGATTTAACAGAGTTTAATAAATTACGAAGCGGGGCGGCGTTAACTTTCTCAATAAATGTGTGATTTTCTGTAGAGACGTTTTTATCTGTTGTAAGTGATTTTATCTATGGAAGCGAGGAACGTTTATCTCCATTAAGGGGGGTTGGATGGCCTAATGATTAGCGCGTATCAAAATGTCTGTCATTGAGTCAACTGGCGTGTTTTCGATGTCCATGTTGTACGTGACAATGAGTAGGGTCGCCTGTCCAACCTCGTGGGTTTTCTCCGGGTCCTCTGGTTTCTACCCACTGCTGAAGTAACATTGAACCATACATGTATTTTAGTCCCCAAATGACCTAGTTTGTGTCGAGTGAACGTTACCCCCCCCCCCCCCCTCTCTCTCTCTCTCTCTCTCTCCAGAGTCTGATTGTTCGATATCTTCATGAAGGTATCTTTACCTTTCATAGTGCTGGCTATAGAAGATCTATACTAGGAACGATATAGGAGGTAACTTGGCATATTTCCCTAAACTATTTTTACAGCGAAAAGCTTCTTTGACAATGGAAACGTCTTTAATGGTGTATTTCAATGACTAGTGGGGAAGCACCATCCATTGTCTTCAATTCCGCAACGTTTTTTTTTTCTGTATCGTCTCTTAGAATTGTTTTAATATCGGTCATCATTTTTGATAATTTTCATGGAACTTGAAATTGCAGTTTCTTATCAACGCCATTCCTTTGATATTTTGCCCTCGTTTAAGCCGTTAGTTAAAATTTCACTATCATTATGACTGTGGAGTCTTCCACCTCGACCGTCGAATGTTTCAAACGATGTGACGATGAATCAGCGCTACTGTAACATAATACATAAACTCATTTTATTAGAAATATACTTTAATCCTGGATAACATATTTACAGGTACAGATAATGCTGGATAACATATTTACAGGTACATATGATGCTGGATAACATATTTACAGGTACAGATAATGCTGGATAACATATTTACAGGTACATATGGTGAAATCTATCTGGCTCTTGTCCCTAGGTCTGCGAAGACCTTATTTCCGGGGTCCAAGGGCAGACCCCTTGCCTCATGGTCTGAGGGCAAGTTCTCTACGTCTCTCTCTGCCCTCGTCTTATCTTGTTTTCCAAACTAGGCTTATTTATATCGGCTATGGTATGCCATAGTTAATACCATTAGTAATCAGAACAATGAGACTTAATTATTAAGATTCACACATCCTATCTCTAGACAATATGTGTTAATGCTTGTTACCTAAATCTTATATCATAATATACTTGTCGGCTAAACATTGTTTGAACAACCCATCACATCTTACATAATACTATGTCATCAATCCCCACATATACAAATTAAATCTAACATGTACATGTACAACAAATAGTTCAAGTGCTTACATTGAATATGTAAAATAAACCATCATCAAAATACCCAACAGTATTTTGTAACATTTCCTCCTTCAACCACAAGTTTCAAATAGTGAAATATATGAAACATTTATGAAACGATTTGAAACAAAATATTAAAATAACCATATAACATAATGAAGTAATAAGACTTAAAAAAAACATATATAACCTAATAATTATTGTCAGTTCATTTTTAGTTCATTCAGAAAACTTCCACAGGAGACATCAAAATAACAGCCACAGATAGTTCGCAAAATTGTTAAAAATTAAACCTAAATGACACGCATATAACACCACAGGAACAATATTCGCACACAAAATTTTCTATAAACTTCACACGCGTAAATAGAAACACAATTAAAATATCCTAAACTTCGATCGCGTAAAAACACATGATCGGCATTAATCAAACACATTAATAATAAAAATATATTCTGGAACACACGACTCAAAATTAATACATCTGTTCGTAATATTATCCACCATGAAAACTGGCCAAATACTTCACGAAATGTACCATTATCCGCCATGAAAATATATTTTATCGCCGATAACTTCTTCAAATTACCATTATATTTCTTCTTATGGTA